TGCGTTTAGTTTAGAGATCAGGTGAAATGGGTTAAAATCATCCGTATTTTTTAATGGGATAGTTTTACTATTTGGCATTAAGAATGGATTGGTTCCATTTTTTCGAGGGAGAGAGAGGAGGTGGGTTGAATTGGACCCTTAGATTTTGAGGTGTGAATCTAACACGAATATTAGGGAAATATTCCCCTTTGGAGATCAACCCATCTCACATATCCTCAAATTAAACACTTTAGAAATGGGTTCGACCTAACCCATCCGATGAAAAAAACGCAGCTTGTTTCTGAATGGGATAAAGGTGAGTTACAAAGAACCATTGAGCTAGACTATTTCCTCATTTATCAGGAACACGCTTATCAAACTGCTAAATTGAGTTTTTCGTGAAAAATAATATATATATATAGAAATTTCTTTTTAGAGTAAAACACACGACCGGTCCTTAAAGTTGAAGCGAGGTTTCACTTAGATACATGATCTAGGAAAATCGTCATTCGGGTCCACGATCTTGTTTAAGTGAATCATTTAGGTCCAAAGCACCTCTGACCGGGTTGACTGGCTTACGTGGCCGTCCACGGAGGCAGCATATTTGCATTTTAGCCCCCCCACATCTTGGCTTCCCCATTTCCGATCCAACCATTCTCCCCGAAATCCTCCTCCTGTGTGATTTCTAGGGTTAGCGATTGCAGCGTCGATTGGGGTGGCGGTGGAGACGTGGCGGCGGCCGCGAGGACGACAACGATGAAGAGGAGGGAGGCGCGTACGACGGCAACGGCACGGGAGAACAAGCGCTCGTCGTCCTCATGGTGTCGTCGGCGGCCGCGTAGGCCTCCACCTCCGCGGCGGTGTCCGGCTCGGTCCCCGTGGGGCTGGCGGCTAAGAACCCGAAGCTGATGCATGAGGGCGCGCAGGACCTCAACCTGGCGTTCCCTCATCACCATGGTCATGCCCTGCAGTCACCGGAGTTCACGGCATTCCCGAGCTTGAAGAGCAGCACCATGTGCAACCCCGGAGGCAACCTGGCGGCGGCGAACGGCGCCGGTGGCAGGGGCAGCGTGGGCGCGTGTTCTCGGCGATGGAGTTGCTGAGGAGCATCGGCTACTACGTTCCTCTGCCTCAGATGGGGCCGCTAGGGATGCCGGTGGAATATGCAGTTGTGGGGTTCCATCTTGGCGAGTTCCGCATGCCGCCACCGCCACAGTAGCATCAGCAACAAGCTCAGACTGCGCTCGGTTTCTCCCAGGACACGCATGGCGGGTGCAGGCGGCAGCTCCAGGGTGTTTGGCGCGTGCAGCGCTGGGTTGCAAGAGAGCGCGGTGGGGCAGGTTGTTGTTCCCGTTCGAGGACCTGAAGCTGGTGGCGAGCGCCACGGCTAGCGACGCAAACAGCAGCGGCGATCATCAGTACGACCACGGCAAGAACCAAGGTGGCGGAGGCGGCGTCATCGGTGGCCATGAGACCCCAGGGTTCTGGAATAGCAGCATGCTCGGCAACGGAAGCAGCAATGGCGGCGGCGATTCTTGGTAAGGTGCTGTGAGCTGCTTGCCCGCCGCCGCCATGCATGGCTCATGCATGCACGCGTGGTGGTCAGCAGCTAGCAGCATGTGGAAATAGAGAAATGAGATAGAGACAAGGGGGAGCCAAGATTGGGGGGGGGGGGGGCTAAAATGCAAATATGCTGCCACCGTGGATAGCCATGTAAGCCAGTCAACCCAATCAGAGGTGCTTTGGACCTAAATAATTTACTTAAACAAGATCATGGACCTGAATAACGATTTATCTAGATCATGGACCTAAGTGACACCTCGCTCCAACTTTAAGGACTGGCCGTGTACTTTACTCTTCTTTTTAAAATCAAATAAATTTATTTTAAAATATATAATTATTAGTAATACTTAATTAATCATATGCTACATTCGTTTTACGTCAAACAAATTAGCTCACTGATTCAGCCGCTTCGACGAAGCCTAAGTCCATCCCAATCCGATGTCAATGCGGTGATGCCCACGTTCCCCTTTTCAATCTAGCTTGTTTTAGCTTGCGAGCCAGTGTTCCTTCATCTCTTCCACCTTGTCTTCCTCCTCTTTGGCAAACACGGATAGGGGCATGGAATGAGACGGTAATGGACACGACGAGAGGAGTGTGCTGGCCAGCGAGAGCAACAAGAGGAGTGCATTGTATGATGACGCCGGGGGATAGCGGCGCATTGGGTGACGATTGGGGAAGTGAGCCCAACAAGCGTGACGACATGAGTCGTGGAGCACGTGTTGCTTTGACTCCATCGTCACCATTGCTTGGTTTTACGTAGCCATGCTCTGCAATGCACCATCGCTCCCGATGAGTGGAGTGCAAAGGTGCCAGGGCCGCCATGCAAGCTGCAGAGGAGCCGATGGGGGCACAATGACAATGCCACGATGCGAACTGATTGTCGCTGGTCTTTTTGGAGTTAGCTTCAGAGTGTTTCTTTTTTTTCTTTTTTTTTTTTTGCCTATTGCAGAATTGGGTTGGGTGCCTGGGCCGTCAAGTGGGTTGTTGGCCTAATGAGTGTTGTGCTTCTTTTGATTGCGCTTGGCTCATTGAGCTTGCGAGCCAGCTCGAGCTGACTCGTTATGGAATACGGGCCGAAATGATAGTTGTCTCATTAAAAAAAAAAACGCAATGAGACAAAGCATCTTCTAACGACGCGCTGTTGTGGCATCGTTCTCGTTGGGCCACCACCCTGATCTGTGACACCGAGCTCGTCTTCAACACGCTCTACGTCGCTGGATGGAGGTCTGATACCACTTGTTGGCAAAGGCGGCATATCGAACATCTTAAGATAGTACTGTATCAAATCCAGCAATAACAGAGCAAATGGATAAAAAACAGAGGAGAACTGAGCAACTCTCGAACTGAAAGTTTTTGGGGGCAAATTTTCTCTCTATTGAAATCAACTTCTATATAAGCCGCACAGATTTCCACGGATCAATGGATCATGCCAATGCCATCCCTGGCAGACATATGCAGTTGCTCCTGCTTGTGATTCACCTTCCGCCCGTTAATGTGAATTCAAATGGGCACAACCGCCCACCGCAGCCGGTGGTGGAGCTTTTTGCATATATGCAGTCATAGTCAATGTTCTTCAGCTTGGATTGCATGTTACCATGACCTTAGGCCTTGTTTAGGCCTTGTTTAGTTCCCAAAAATTCACATACATAAAGCATTAAATATATATGAAAATAAAAACTAATTACACAGTTTACATGTAAATCGCGAGACGAATCTTTTGAGCCTAATTAATCTATGATTAGCCATAAGTGCTAAGTAGCTCACATGTGCTAATGACGGATTAATTAGGCTTAATAAATTTGTCTCGCGGTTTCCAGACGAGTTATAAAATTAGTTTTTTTATTCGTGTCCAAAAACCCCTTCCGACATCCGGTCAAACGTCCAAATGTGACACCCAAATTTTTTTTTCGCGAACTAAACACACCCTTAATTAAAAACAAAGTCAACTAAAAAACTATCAGGGATTTGACAACATAAAGATATACACAATGTAATGGAGAGGGTTTGTTTGTCCAAGCTCTATTGGTGTCCACTATATTTTAACTGAGTGGATGGCCCAGGTTGACCTGTAAATAATTTTTTTTGGGGGGGAGACTTATAAGCTAATGGCATATGTTTGTCTTGCTTTTATGCAAGTGCTAGATATACATATCTAAGCTCCATGATCAGAGGATATGTCTATATATTATACTCCCTCCTTCCCTAAATATTTGACACCGTTGACTTTTTTAAACATGTTTAACCGTTCGTCTTATTTAAAAACTTTTGTGAAATGTGTAAAACTATATGTATACATAAAAGTATATTTAACAATGAATCAAATGATAGGAAAAGAATTAATAATTACTTAAATTTTTTGAATAAGACGAATGGTCAAACATTTTTAAAAAAGTCAACGGCGTCAAACATTTTAGGATGGAGGGAGTATGTATTAAGAAAGGTCAACACCGAGTTGGAATCACATGGCTAATATATAGTATACAAACGCCATAGTAAAAGGAAGATGGCTGAGGATAAACATGACATGTAAAGTACCATGATCAACCAGCATATATATACTAGATTAATTCTGGCCTGCAAAATTTGAATTGAACAAGTAATGAAACATATATCAACAAACAAAATATATTATCAATGTTTATCGAATCAGCAAATTAGTAATGCAGGTCGTTTATCGAATCAGTTCCTTAAGTACGAGGATTGCGTTCTATATGGTATTTCTTTTGCAATGCCATTTCAATATCAACTTTGCCTGTTAAATAGGTTTCTGTTCACGTTTTATACAATGTAATACGTGATAAAGTTTTTAAGAATATCAGTCTTATTGAATTCATAATAAATATGGAGCTGCATCTTCAAGTTTGCATCAAAAGTTCTCAACCAATGCATTTCTCATGGTTCATGCGTGACACATGGCAAACATCGATTGTACAATTGACCCACATTACATTTCATATACTAAATACTTAATTACTTCCTCCGTTTCACAATGTAAGTCATTCTAGCATTTCCTATATTCATATTGATGCTAATGAATCTAGATAAATATATATGTCTAGATTCATTAGCATTAATATGAATATAGAAAATGCTAGAATGACTTACATTGTGAAACGGAGGGAGTAGTTATTACAAACGTGGACATGAAGAAAGTTGTTGGTTATTGGTATAACCAACTACCTAATTCATGATAGTCACTTGCAGATTGATATACCATATATGTGCTCCTCATGTTATGTGGTGTCAGTCCCTAAGTGGTTTTATAAAAAAAACAGATATATTCATAGAGATGTTTCGATCTTTTTGTATTTTCTTTTCTCCGTGGCAACACAGCAGTAAACTAGGTTATAATATATATATATATATATATAATATTAAAACACAACCCCCCTCCCGCCGCACCCCCCCCCCCCACCCACCCCCCTCCCCTACTGCATCCCACCCCCATCCGTAGTATGTGTAATAGTAATTTTCTTACTACCCCACCAAACCTAAACTACCGGTAATCTATTTACTCACCTATTATGCAATATGTATATTAGGATGCAACGGACCATCCTACCCTATTTTTTTGGATCTAGAGTCCATCCACTCCCATGCCGGTTTTCCCGGATCGACCAAGAGCTCGAGGGAGAGGGCACGGGAGAAGGCTGGCGGTGGAAGTGTCCTCCAGCGGCGGGCGGTGGACGATGGGCGAAATTGGTCAACGACGGCTGAAATCGGTCGGAGGCGGCGATGGTCGCGGGTCGCCAACGTCCTTTGCGCCGAGCCATGGAGAGGTGAGGTGGTTCTGACTATTTTCCTCGCTCGATCTGGTGCTCCCTTCCCTACCCCGCCCATGAATCAGCGTCGACATCGACAGGATCTCTTGAGGAGGAGGGGGCGGTTGACGGCGGGATGCGGGGAGGAGCTTCCTGCTGCGTTGACCACACCCTGATTCCTCCCTCGAAGGATCTGGCACGGATCAGGCCTCCCATCGCTGCCTCCCTCCCACAGCGGTGGCGTCATGATCTGTGATGCACGATGATAATGAGGGTAAGCAGCTGAGTCCATGCAATTTTGAACTTTTTACTTTGCATCTTTGTTGTTTTACCGATTTGCTGCTGCAGTTCTGCTAATTTGCTCCTGTATTCTGATTCCTTCACATTCTGCAGTCTGCACTCGCGCCGGTCGGCAGCAGGCGCTGGAGACCCTGGCCACGCAAAGCAGGCATGGGGATGGCGGTCAGGATCGATGGATGGATGGATGTTCAATTCGTATGTGTTCCAATGAAAGTCAGGATGTTTTATTTGTTTTATTTTCTCTCCATGATCTATCTACTCAATCAATCTCTATAGGCAATAGCTGCTTGTTTTTCTTTGAGGAAGCATAGCTGCCATGTTTGATCAGTTAATTGCAGCTTATTTGCCGGCGCCAGATATGTGGTGATTGCTTGTGTTCGTTGATGCGCTGTATAACATACATGCATGTTCCATCGATCCATTGTAGATCAATTTGTAGTGAATGCTAGATCATTCTGAATTTATGATTATTCTTTTCATTAAGAACATTCGGTCCATTTTTATTCTTGAAATCGTTTTTCATCTGAAAAGATGGCAGGTTTTGTGTAGCTTATAACTTGTATGTTATTAATCAGAGATATCTGGATATTTTAGCCTGAAGCATCCCAATTACGTATTCTACATTTTTCAGCCAACTGCATTCTTAATTTTCTTTTTTGCACAATGTCATCGATTATAGATTGGGACTAGGCAAGCCCAGGAATTACTGTTAAGGAAACATAATGTGACCTCCATGCTTGTCTGAATAAAAAATGATCTGTTGGCTAAAAGTACGCATGAAGGAACCTAAACTGGTAGCTCAATTTTTTATGAAGCATTTTATTTCTTCTTCAGCGAATCATATCTCATTTAGAGTCATTTATGAGTGTAAATTATGTAATCGTTTTTGTCTATATCCAGGTGGCTGTGGGATGCCTCTCTAGATGTTCGTGGGTGATGGATATCTGCCGATGGGAGACCTAAGGATCTATAGTGTTTTGTCGGCTCAACATCGATATGTGGCACTAGCGCCGTCTTGTTTATTGGATTCGTGCATGTAATAGTAATTTAGTTACTAAGAGACATTGAGAACCATCAGTGATAGTAACTTGGTTACTAAGAGATTTTTTTGGCAATATCAATATGTTATGTTGAGATTGGTGTAATAGTAATTTATTTACTAAGAGAAATCTTATGATGATATCAATACGTTATTTTTAAGTAATTTATTTACCGCGAGAAGGTATGATAACCAATTAACTGTAGTATTATCTCAAGTAATATATATATATATATATATATATATATATATATATATATAGCGTAGAAAAGGTAGAGTCCTAGTTCTTTGAGAGAAATTGAATATATATCACCTTTATTTTTAAATGAATAACATTGTTGATTTTTGACATACATGACATTTCAACATTCATCTTATTCAAAATTTAGTACAAATTTGAATAAAGTTGTTATAAAATCAGCCCCGAAATCGTCATCAGTAGCTAAACACGGAAGAAACCTTATAGGAGATCCAAAATATTGATGACGACATAGTCTACATCTCCGGAGCAATGATTACGGGTGCTCCTCCCGGATCCAGTGTATTACAATATATCAGAGTTACAACGACCATCGGCTGACACTACTGGCAGCTACCTCTCACCTATGTTAAGTCGTCATGTAGTTACAACCGGTCCGTCCCTCTATTTAAGAGAGAGCTTAGGATCGAGTCCAGCTCTTACTCTATTCCTACACCTAGTACGATAACTCGAAGTCGTAATCTATAACCGACTTTGTATACATATTGGATACAAACTCTAACAAAAAAACTATAAGTCATATTTAAAGTAACTTTAAAGATGAAACAACAAGTCAACAAAATATTGATACTTCCAAGTGTTTATTAAATGATCAAACATTATGTCCAAATATCCATAACTTTATCTATATATTGAAAACAAGTAGTAAAATTTGGATGCTGCTTCCCCTGCACAGTATGTGTATATACTATTCAGTCTTCATAGTAGTATAGTGCATGTTATTAATTTACTGTTCTAAATAATTTAGTGTGCGCGTGGAGTAACTGATTGGAGTGTAAATATACAGAAAATTGTTAATACACATATGTCAGTGTCAGGTTAGTTGCTTACATGCTTTCACTCTTTTTTTCTTGTCACAAAATACTCCGTTGCTTTCAACTCTAGTTTTATATTTCGTTGTCTGCAGAAAGCCCTCTGCACTTTTTCCCTTGAGAAAAGGAAAAGTGCAAGACTCAAAACGAGCTATACACCAACTCTGCTGAGATGATAGTCTGACCTGTCATGCATTCTATAAATTGTGTAGTGGGATTTTCAAAATATAACTAATTGTGTTTAGTTTAAAGCTAGCTGTTTGAACGAAAAGATAGTTCATATTACAAGTTACTCCAAAATAAGAGAAACCAGATTAATTAGGCTTGCAACACGAGAACAGGAATTTTCTGATATACTAGATGTAAATGAAACTTTCCATTCATTAGTTAATAACCCAAGTGTGTTATCTAACAACTTGAAAAATACAGTTATTCTCCTCCCTCCGCCCCAAAGAAAAAAAGACGATCCCTTCTCTGAAAAAAAAAACTGCTCCTAAATCCTCCCCAAAACCCAACCTATATATCGTGAAAAAACCAGCACAAAAGAAACTGGAATATATTGATATCTCCGAATTCGGGCATATAACTGGTAATAGAAAAACTTCTCCTCATGTAGGCTTCCCTAGTTCCATTTATGTGATTCTTGCACGTGTATTCCTTCATGCATGGGTACCTGTTTTGCTTCCCATAAAAGATGGGCGAGTTCAAAGGAGCTGCTCAGCTGAGCAACTTGGCAGCACGCTAAACCGTCTATCCCTTCATTCTTGGTACCTTGTTGCTTTCCATAAAAGAAGGGCAAATTCGAAGGAGCTGCTCGGCTGAGCAACTTGGCAGCACGCTAAACCGTATATCCCTTCATTCTTGGGTACCCTTTTTGCTTCCCATAAAAGAAGGGCGAGTTCGAAGGAGCTGATCGGTTGAGCAACTTGGCAGCACGCTAAACCGTGTATCCCTTCATTCATTTATAAAACCAGATAAGAGATATGTGAATTTTATGAACAATGTTATTATCACTTTGTCGGATGACGAAATGACTAAAATAAAAGTTATAGATCTTGATGAGTTATACAACTTGGTTGTTGATAACTTTTTCAGTTAAAATCATTTAGTATTTGAAATTGTTGTTTAAAGTTGTCATATTTTCATATTTAAATTCAAACTATTTAAAAAATGTTATATAGAAAAATGACCAAAATAAAAGTTGTAAATCTTGATAGAGTAAAGTGCTGGCGGTCCTTAAACTTGTAGAGTCCCTAAACTCTCAAAATGCATATTTAGATCCCAGAACTTGTCAAAGTGTATCATCTAGGTCCCAAATTGACACATCCCCTCTAGGATCCTGTGTGGCACTGATGTGACAATGCCACATGGACGTGACTTTGTTGTTCATGACTTTTCCATTTGAAATCATTTAGTATTTGAAAATATTTTGAAGTTGTCATATTTTCAAATTCAAATTCAAACTGTTCAAAAAATGTTACGTGAAAAAATGACCAAAATAAAAGTTATAGATCTTGATGAGTTATACAACTTTGTTGTTGACAATTTTTCTATTTGAAATCATTTACTACCCGAAAAATTATTTAAATTTCTTATATTTTAAAATTTAAATTTTATATAGTTCAATCAAACCCGAATGGAGAAATGACCAAAATAAAATTGGTAGATCTCAATGAGTTCTACAACTTTGTCTTTGACAACTTTTTCATATGAGTTCATTTAGTATCATAAAATTCAATTCAAAATTTTTTTTTCCTAGAAATTTGATTTGCCTCCTCATCATGTTAATACTTACATATTTGATCCAATTAACTTGGTTTTGCTGGTGAAATATGTGAATGGATGTGAAATATGTGATCAAAATGAATGTTACGTGTCATTTCAAAAAAATGGATGTTATGTGAATGTGGTTATGTTAAATATATTAATGGTTGTGTATGTGAATGAATGTACAACTTCTTCTTTGGAAGCTGATCTCCAAAGAACTCTGAGGTTAAGCGAGATTAGGGTGGAGAACCGACCAGGAAATTCTTCCCGGGTGGAGCAATTTCGGGATGGTGACCGACCGGGTTCACACAAGTGAGGACAAAGTGCGCAGAAAAGACCGGCCCAAGGGCGTGGCCCCCAAAGGCCTGAGGCTAGCCAAAAAATATTTTTTTTTGGATTATACTCATCCTTGACATGCTATAATTTAGACCCAATTGAGATGACAGTCATCCGTGATGGGCTATAGTTTAGGCGCGTTAGAAATGAGAGTCATTCATGACGGGCTATAATGTTGGCCCGTTAGAGATGAGAGTTATCCGTGACGAGCTATAGTGTTGGCCCGTTAGATATGAGAGTCATCCGTGATGGGGCTATAGTGTTGGCCTGATTGAGATGTTTGTCATTCGTGATGGCCGGATGCCCAATTAAGATATTTTCTCACATCAGTAATCTTTGCTTAGTGACGGAGGCTCTGTCTGAAAGAGATGAGGCTTTAGGTCCGTTAGAGATAACCAATCCCGTTCTAATGAGTTTTACTGACTTTATAAGTAAAATTCTGTTGTTTTTTAAAAGTCTCTATATAAAGTAGAGATATGTAACTTCAAATTTAATATGGAAGGAGCATTTGCTCAAGAAACATTACCGCACATATTTTTCATTGCATTTTAATTGAATGCCAATTTTATGGTTCTTTTTGTGACTGATAAGGTTCTAAATTAATTAGGGTCTGTTTAGATCACCTAGCAAAATTTTACACCCTATCACATCAAATGTTTGGACACATCCATGGAGTATTAAATATAAATAAAAAAACTAATTACACAGATTGTGCGTAAATTGCGAGACGAATCTTTTAAGCCTAATTGCACCATGATTTGACAATGTGGTGCTACAGTAAATATTTGCTAATGACGGATTAATTAGGCTTAATAAATTCGTCTCCCGGTTTACAGGCGGATTATGTAATATTTTGTTATTGGACTATGTTTAATACTTCAAATGTGTGTCGGATATCCAATGTGACACGCCAAAACTTTACACCCCTAGATCTAAACACAGCCTTAGGCTTTCTTTAGTTCCCAACAAATTTTCCCAAAAACGTCACATCGAATCTTTGGACACATGCATGGAACATTAAATATAGATAAAAAAACTAATTGCACAATTTGCATGGAAATCGCGAGACGAATTTTTTTAGCCTAATTAGTCCATAATTAACTATAAGTGCTACAGTAAACCACATGTGCTAATGACAGATTAATCAGGCTTAATAAATTCGTCTCGCGGTTTCTAGGCGAGTTATGAAATTAGTTTTTTCATTCATGTCCGAAAACCCCAACCGACATCCGGTCAAATGTCTGATGTGACACCAAAAAATTTTGTTTTTATGAACTAAATACACCCTTAGTCATGCATGTTGAGATAAAACTGGTCCCAATAAAATTTGATATCAAATTAAAGGGTTCTCTGACCAGGAACACAAACACAAACCAACAGCCATTCCTTTCCATCCAATGTGTCAATTCAAGGTATGCAGATGCATCAATCACTGCATTTCTAATTACACACATGCCACAAACAACAACATGTATCACACAAGAGTAGCAGCAGTATCTATGTCTTTGGCATATTGCACATAGCATTTGTTCATGAGAGCAACAGCCACAAACTGACCACACACATGCACACAAATCAATTCAGCCTGAGTAATCTTCAGTCTATCTCCTCCTGGACAATGCCATCTACCAAAAAACAAACTCAGCAGAGGCCAGGAGACACTGATGATAGATCAAAGCTAGTAGCTGCAAAGGCCAATACACTCGGGAACAAAAACTAATACAACAACACAGATGCTGACGTCATGCATGAAGCCGTCAGGAAATTAATCAGGAGAGGATGGCGTCCCAGTCGATCTCCCACGACGGATACCGGCGCAGCGCGAAGCCGTCGGCCTCGTCCCATGGCGCCTCCGTGAAGTCCAGCTGCTGAATCGTCTCCGGCAACGGCGGCGGCGGCCGCGGCGCCGGCGGCGTGGCGGTGGCGGCCTGATTCGATGAGGTCGGGGATGGGGAAGACCCTGTGGACGAGACGTCGGCGGCGTCGGCCGTCGTCGTCGTGGAGGCTTCGGAGACGGAGCAGCAGCCCGGCTCGGTCTTGACGACGCGCGGCGACGGCGGCGGCGTGGTGTTCGTCGACGCCGGTGCTGCGGCGGCGGCGGTGTCCGCCGTGGTGGTGGTGGTGGCTTGGAGGATCTTGGCGTCGACGGACGCGCTGAGCGCCGGCGCGTGGTGCCGCCCTCCGCGCCGGAGCTCGGGGAAGTTGAGGCGGGCGGCGTCGCCGCGCAGCCGGAACGCGGCACCGTCGTAGGCGAGCGCGGCGTCCTCGGCGGTGTCGTACGTGCCCAGCCACAGCCGCGTCCGGTTCCGCGGCAGCCGGATCTCCGCCACCCATTTCCCCCAGTGCCGCTGCCGCACGCCGCGGTACAGCTTCGCCTGCACCGGCGCCGGCCCCACCAGCGCAAGCCGCCCCGCCGCCGCCGCCGCCATGCCACCGCACCGCTTCATCGAGCACGGCGCCGCGCCCACCGCCCGTCGCAGCCGGTGGTGCAGCTGCGCCGCCTGCGACGGCGTGACAAGGTTATAGTTATACCACCCGGCGCCAAGAACCATGGCCGTCGCCGGCGACAGGCTCTGCTGCTCGGCGTCCACGAAGAACGGCGCCACGGGCGCCGCCGCGCCATGGACGAGCTGCCCGTACTCCACGGCGCCGCCCAGCGCCATCGGCAGCGGAGGAAGCTTACTATTACCACTAGTAGAAGCCGCAGCAGCGAGGCAACGCCATTGGCGATCCATGGCTGCTTCTTCTTCTTCTTCTTCTACCTTGCGATCGATCAGCAAACGCAGCAAGAAGAATCGTGTTAATTTGGAAGTTGAATGAGTGAATAAGCAAAGCTTGCTATCTAGCTCCATGGTGTTTTTATAGGCAGAGAGGGAGTAGTGATCTCACCCAATGGGAAAGTGCCAAGTGGCACCTCTCCTGCCACGTGTCCACTGTCCTAACCAACATATGTGGAAGAGTTGGCACGTGTGAGCTGGGGATTGGCTGAGAAATGGAGCTCCAATGGCGGAAGAACCTGACGACGAATGATGTGATTTTTTTTTCATGGCAAGTTGTATTTTTGCATGCTGATTTTTTTTCTATTTGCACAAATTTCCTCCATGTACTTGTTGTCCTATGATTTCAATATTGAATTCGATATGGACAAGTACAATGTGTTGTTCATTCAGATGATATTGGCACATGCTGTACTGTACAAATTCAAGACAATTTGTCAATGAAGCTTGGGCCGGATGAAAAGCATATTTTATCACTTTAATTATTATCACTTTTTCTTAAAAAAACATTTTTGTGCATATAATTAAAATTATGACGATGGATGAATAAATTTTGAAGGATGTTTATTGGGTCAGAATTGAACTACTAATTTTTGTGAAAGTTCTACTCCCTCCATCTTAAAATACAGTTACTAGGTAGCTAAGTATATTTTAATAATAGCTACTCCCTCAATCTCAAAATATAAGCATTTTTAGTATAGTGACAAGTCAAACATTTTTAACTTTGACTATTAATAATAATAAAAAAAAGATTACATATAAAATTGATGTTACTAGATTTATCATTAAACAAACTATCATAAAATGCAACTCTTTTTATTTAAAACATCTTAATTTTATAAATATTGTTGGTCAAAGTAACATCTCAGAGACCATGTCAGTGGCAAAAAATACTTATATTTTGGGACAAAGGGAGTAGTATATTTTAGGGCGGAGGTACGTGTACAAAACTCTTGCTTTCCATGGAGTTCCAAAATTGTTGGTTTAAGTCCAAGGTATATGATCGTGGAAGAATGAAATCAAATACCAAGAAAGAAAAAAATAAGTGTGAGCAAATAGTGATGCGATGGTGATGTAGAAGCCGCCGGTACAATTTGATTTGATGCAGGGAGACCTTTTCTGGTCGACGGTTTGCAATTTGATTGGACATGGCGTGATCCATCAATGTGTCAGCATAAGGAATGTAGGCCAACAGTTCATCGTTTCATCCTCAGCCAGGCGTACAGAAAGCCAAAAGGCAATGCAAATTAAAAATCCCCCCTCTTTTTGTTCACTTGTTATATTCTCTCCGTGTTATTTTAATAATGCATCTCCATGATGATTTTTGATCCTTTTAGCAAGTAGAAAGGGAAAAATATGCTATATGTTGTAATTCTAGGGTCATCTTCGAACCAAATGTCGCAATTTTGCAAGAGTTGCAAGTTTTGGATTTTTTTTTCTTTTGAGCATACCAACCCATAGGGTTTTTTTTTCTATAAAAAAATGTGTGGAGCAACATGATAACTCATCGGTTGAAACGTATTCTTGATATAAAAGATGTATGGTATAAATTTACACGTGTGCGGTTCAATTATTAGTCAAAAGAGATACTAGGTGGCTGTAACTATGAAATTTTATAGAGTACAATGGATACGCATAGAGCGAAGAATCTGCACAAGGAGCCACACAATAAAGGAAAAAATGTATATCCAGGATATATAAACGTTTCAGTTTATGTAGAGCAGGAAAAAAGAATAAAGTGGTAAATGAACTTTTCATGAAATAGAAAGGAACAGGAACCTCCAATACTTTGACCAATAAAGATAGCCAAATAACTACTTTTTTGTTCTGTTACCTATACCTAGTGTGAATAGATTAATTAGAATACCTGTTATCTTATATCATAAGAAACGATCGATTTTGTAATCTAATGATAAACATGAGTGGACCAAGATTCTCGATAACCAAAAGTTCCAAAGCAATCTAATTTCCACTCCTGAATCAGATATATAGTATCTTAAAATTCGTTAAGATATGGACAAGATCTATCAGACTAATAAGTAAATTGAGTAATAAATATATCTTGAAATATCACTTAATTCTTACTGAATGGACAACAAAACTAATCATAAAATTGCATATATAACATTCCCGCTGATTGCATACCTAAAAACGTAGAAATTCATACACTACTTAAATGTAAAAGATAAGTAACGCTATGTGTTAATTAACTACAAGTTTGCGCATTAATAATAATACATATAATCTGTAGAGCACTTATATTTAACAAATCTGTCTATGCCTTCATAAATAATGCGCACAATGCAGCCATAACCAAATCCATTCACATTCTTGTAATAATGAACTAATCCACAAGAAAATGACAGAAGCCAAAAAAATGAAAAAAAATAATGAGAATGCGTTGCACTTGTCGCTACAAAAAACCGTTTAGGTTGGTCCATCTCCACACAACGGCTCATCAATCTAACCAAGCATTGCAAGCATTATATGTGTGGTGATAACCTTGTTAATCTCGATCAGGTCAAAATTAAGCCAAAAAAAAACTAATTTAAACACCGGAGAGGCGATAAACTTTTTAAACGAATCCTGTGGCCACCCTTCAACGGAGGGCGGAGCTGGATTTGTTAACAATTTGCACAAACTAGTGGCCACGGCTAGTTCGGGAGGCCAAAAAAAATAAATTAAAGATTAAGAGGCTAATGACGGATTAGGGGACGGCTAATCATGCAGTGTACGAAGTGGTTAATTAGGCTCGCGTCATGTCGTGACAGATTTGGTGATGGCCACGGGTGGCTGCGCTTTTTCAGCGGGTAGATTAATTAATAAGCGTAAAAGTGTGATTAAATAACAATAAAGAGATGGGAGGATAAGGATTAAGAAACGGAGGAAAGTTTAGGGGAGAGGACAGAAATGGGAGACAGGCGTCAGCCAATCCAAGCATAGATTTTCACCAGAGAAGGTAAACTGTTAAGGCCTCCTATGTAATACAGCCATACAGGTAGTCGGGCACTACTCTGGTAAAAGTTATTTGATTTTTATCGCAGGATTGACTTTAAGTTTTAACATTTATAATCAATAATTTTTTAAATGCATATTTTTAAAAAAAAACTTGTATACGTAGATTTGCCTAAAAACACTATTATGACAACATGAACTTATTAGACTTTATAAACTTATTTTATGATTGGGATTTTAAAATTTTTTAATCAAAGCTTGTCCTAATTAAGCTAAAAAATAACTCTAAATATTGGATTAAATTGCATCATACCCTTTTTTTTCTTTCAAATGCATGGAAGAAAATTAGACTTGGAGGAGAGTTTGAGGGACCCAAATATACTATGGCCTAGAAAAGAAATAGAAGCATGACTAGTGGTTTGTGGTTTTCTCCATGTAAGGTAGAGCTAACTCTACGTTCTCTACTACTTTAAAAGCACGATACTCTTTTCTTCCTTTTTCCACCGTACGAAGTCCGCTTGTTCGTGTGTGCATAATTGTTGATTCAGTAATTTATTCTCAATCCACCCATTCAGCCAATCCCAAATCATATTGGTCTGGCCCATCACAAAAGTATGGGTATATTACTAGTCATTAAAATAAGTGTGATTAGCAGTTATGTTTTCTGGACTTATAAGCGGTGCAATTTTTATATATAAATTTTTATAATACTATTTAAATCCATTTTTAATTTTATAATAGTTAATTTATTCCTTTATACTCGTGAATTACTATCACAAAACAATCAACTTTTCAATTGATAGTTTGTAAGTTTTTCTTCAGTTAATCAGCTCTATTTAGATAAAGCTGACTTTTCAAAGGTCTCTAGTTTAACCATCCTAAAATCTGTTTATACGGTACAGTTTTTTTTTTGTTTGTTTTTTGTTTATACGGTATAGTTAATTATGTTGGGCTCAAACCAAACCAATTAATTAATTTAGACTGCACTTTATGATAACTAGTTTTGTCTGTCAAAACTCATGCGCAGGAAATTGCTAAGTAACTAATTGTGCAAATCGTTCCTGATCCCTTAGGTGTCTTGTTTTTTTTCCAACTCACGTGGAAGACATATATGTACACAACGGCACAAACGCAGATTTTCAGGTGTTGTCAGCGTTAATAAGTTGTTTAGGGGCGGCTGAATTCGGTATTCATAGTTATTACTAACTCACTCCTCTGTGCACGCTTTTCAAACTGCTAAACGGTGTCTTTTTTAAAAAAAAATTATATACGAAAGTTGCTTAAAAATCATATTAATCTATTTTTTAAAAAAAATAGGTCATACTTAATTAATTATACGCTAATAGAATGCTCCTTTTCTCAATTTAGTGGTGACCACTGACCAACTGAGGCGTGCAGTGTCCTTTATTTTTCTTTCTTGTTATCTTCTTCATTCTTTCCTCTCCTATTATTTCCAGAAAAAAAAGAGTATATCTCATTCGTGTTCTTTTAATGCGAATTGAGTTTGGATTAGCTAAAATAGTTTTGTTTACCTTCACATACAGATAGAAGACAACATGTAACGAGGGCATCCACAATATAGTCTAGAACTAGTCCATAAGCAATAAAATATTTCATTCAGCTACCTCACCACATTGTGGAACTAGTCCATAGTAAGAAAATAGCAAAAGCTACCCATCAGCATATAGGTTGCCCATATAGAATAAAATATGTTATTTGTCTCTATTTCCTCTCTCCTCCTAATACTAGTTGCTATCTATATACATTGTGAAGATAACAATAGTTATAGTCCATATATGTGGGTCCCATCTATATGGACTACTTTTGCTATATACATTGTTGTTGCCCTAACTGTAGCTCATTGAGATAGAGAAGAAACTGTTATTCACATGACCAACTGCTTCCTGTAGCCTCCAATAATACAATGATTTATGTACTTGTAAAAGGAAGCTATCCTATCCTAATTAAGCTAACAGACCCTTGTTGATTACATGTTTAAACCAGTATTTCATAAAGTTTAGGCAGCTTGGCAATCTCAACAAGAAAGGAACATATATATATCAAAGGCAGTTTGTTATTTTGTTGGGTCATCATCCATATTACGAAACGGCAAAACTTAACCAATCAACCAAACTTTGGCGCTCCAGCCCTCTGAAGCAACATCAGGTAGCTTAGGTCAAAACCATTTCAGAATGCATAACCACAATTGCACACATACTAGATAACAGAAGAATTGCCTGATAGAAAGCACAACATGTCGATTTAGTAACTGATGAGTTTTGCAGTTCAGCTGCAGACGAACATACATATAACATACTCAAGTGCTAAGCTATATCACAACTTATCAAGCACGCAACATCTGATGCTGATAGTTTTGCTCTCAGTAAAAGGTATATAGAAGTCTTCTTAGAGTATTTCAACAACGTACGAATATTGATACATAACTCACATCCTTCAAACGCGGTCGTCCACTTCCTCGTACATCTTGAGGATTTGTGCGCACGCAGCAAGAGGAGCATCCTTCTGGAAGCCCAGAGCGTTCGCCAACCGAACATTAGATGTCACACCATTGTTGTTGGTGAGGAAGACAGGAGCCCTCTCCCGTCCAGCAACAATCTTGCCACACTTTGCGTCCGGGCTGCTCACAAGGACAGACTCGCAGAGCTCGTGCTCATGCTCATCGTTGACAGGGATGTTGTAGGTGCCAGTGTGGTCAGTCTGGCCCTCGAAGCTGCATGTCTTGGCGCCAGTGGATTTCGATCTGCACTCAACCTTTACCTTCGCTCCTGTGGATGGATGGATAGAAGGAAAGTCAACATACAAATATTTAGCCATAGAAGGTTACTGATAAGATTTTAGTCACCTATGTGACTATAATATACTAAAAAAATTGCAAGCTGACTTAAACCCCATCAGGCGTTGCAGAGGTTATCAAAAACATGCATTTAGTTTCTATTATGTCATCAAGAGTTAGCTTATGATTTAATAAAAAAATTCTGCTCAAATTAATATGGTTCCCTTATTCTACAGCCCAGTTGTGGTTTCCTTATTTCCTAATGTAGCACATAGCAGCAACCACAAATTGACAACATTTTTGCAGATAAGATTTGTAACTGATGTCTTGCAGGTTCACGTAACCATGTATTTTCACATAAAAGTGCACCAGACCCCACAGTACCTGGTTTATCTTAAAAGTTGTTACTTTAGTCATAATGCAAAACCTTGGTCATCTAGATTGCAAATGTTGAGTAAAATAGCCATGGATGTCACACTTCGGTTTACAAATATGCAGAGTTTCTAGCCCTTGATAGTTGATACAACAATGAATCATGCAATACATTAGGCAGAACAGGCTTGGAGAATGGAATATATGAAACACATGCAACATTTTGGCAGGTATTACAAGCATGGCTCTAAACTTTTCATAGTCAGGAATGTTGATCCAGCCCAGCATTTTGTGAAAGTCGGCATAGTTCAGTACCCAAAAATTTCCATCTAGTATGGCTAGAAGAAACCGAGCACTAACCCATGAGACAACTGATTGTTGCTTGATTTCAGAACTATGGTTATAAATGATTCAGTGAAGGAAATCTGGAGGGAAACCATGGTTACAAACTGATTCATGACAGGTCTAGTTTGTTCAGTAGCAGATCCATCAGCACACAGCCTGTGATCACACATGTTTAGACCCTGTTTAGATGGGACTAAAACTTTTAAGTCCCTATTACATCGAATGTTTGGACATTAATTATAAATATTAAACGTAGACTATTAATAAAACCCATCCATAATCTTGGACTAATTCACGAGACGAATCTATTGAGCCTAATTAATCCATGATTAGCCTATGTGATGCTACAGTAAACATTCTCTAATTATAGATTAATTAGGCTTAAAAAATTTGTCTCGTAAATTAGCTTTCATTTATGTAATTAGTTTTGTAAGTAGTCTATATTTAATACTCTAAATTAGTGTCTAAATACATGGACTAAAGTTAAGTCCCTGGATCCAAACACCACCTTAATCTTCTGAGGGACCATCCAACCTGAAGGTAATGAGCCTTAAGATGTTTATATTATTTTACCCTTCAGCACCACCTTGAAACTAAGGGCTTGTTTTGTTCATTCCCATGCACATTTCAAAAGATTTGGCAACAAACCAAATGAGCAACCTTGCCATCTCTTCTTTTTTTGGCAATGCACAACCTTGCCATTCCCAGAATTTTGGTATGGTTTGAGCTTGGCAAAGAACCAAACACACCCTAAATCAGTACCGTCTTGCGCAGATCCCACCACCCACTACACAAAAAAGACTCAAGTCTGGTGCGAATAGTATAGGTACTGTTCATATACTTCCGAATTTGTCTTCTATTCCTCTATGTGCGAGTTAAGTCCAGGCTCAAGAATCTGTGGAGTGGTACATGTATGTTGTATGAATGCTGACAATTTTTTTGAGAAATTTCCGTAACCATCTGGATGGTATTTGAACAAATGTTCAAAACAGTTTCTCCAACCGAAGATTGCAGACTCGAATTCGGCAGTTCCGGTCTTGGAATCTAAAGATCTAGCACCTCTACCAAACCATAGGTTCTAGCATTTATACTAGACACGCACGTCACTTAGCTTAGATTTGCAGATCTACTCGAACAAACTCCACATTCCGCAAGCCGATCTGAAAATAACTAACCACCAGCAGAAAAAAGGCCAATGCTGGCATCCTGCAGGCAAGAACACACAACACACGGTGGCAGAGTGATAACTTCAGCATTAAGCGAGATCCTACTGCAGGCTACAACTGCTGAGCTCCCGGCTCACCGACGGGGGACCGAGTCCGTACACAGACCGGGAGGGAGTGGAGTAAGTGTGGTTTAGTTACCGGCGATGTAGGTGGAGGCGGGGGTCTCGAAGCCGGCGAGGCAGGTGTCGCACCAGACGCGGCCGCGGACGACGAAGCCCGCGCGGCGGGGGCGGAGGTCGCGGGAGGCGGAGGCGGCGGAGGGGAACGACGCGAGGGCCATGCCCAGGAGGACGAGGAGGAGGGAGAGCGCGCGGGGGGACGCCATTGCCGCCGGCGCCAACGACGAGCTCGCGAGTGAAGCGGCGGAGTGGGGCGAGTGAGGAGTGAGGAGAGGAGACTAGACTCCAGAGAGGAGGAGGAATAATGGTCGTGTGGGGTCGCGTGATGGGGTGGATGGATTTATGCGCAGCATGTGACCGGTTTTGTGGGGGTGCGAGCACCGCACGGTGAGTCGGTGATGGCCAGGACCCAGGAGAATCAAAGGCAAAGCTCGTTGCTAATCATTTTCTGAAAATCTAACAAATTGGGTTTCTCGGTTTCTATCGTACAATTATTTTTATTTGACTATATATTTTTTAATTTGAACGAAAATCTAAATTTTTTGAGAAAGCTTTTTTTTTCGACGAATACAAGGAGCTTTATTAATTCATAAAAGATTACAGTCTGAGAAAGATTACAGTTTTAAGCAAGATGACAAATAGCTGAGGACTTATAACCTAAGGCCAGATAGGAAACTACAGGACCATAAACTCTCTCAAATAGACTCTTTATCTGATCTGGTCTCTCGCATTCTTTTTTTTATGATTCTACTTAGGGGTTTGAGATTTTCTCCATAATCTATCGAGTTGCTCCAAGACGAAATTTGATGTTTTTCGATTGGAACCGCTACAGCAGCAATAATTTGTGAGGTTATATGACATTGTAACGTTGAATGTTGTAGACATAGTTTTTGAACTTACGTGTATTATTACAAAATAGTTTTCGAACTTAGGAAATGTGGAATAACGCCATATACCAAAGTTATTACTTACTCGCTCTTAAAGATATACTTAGTGTCGGTTTGGTTGTCTACTGTTAAACTTTGGCTAAGTTTTAACACAAGCAATGTTTAATAAGATATTGTAAATATAAGTCATATTAAGATTGTTTTAGCACAACACTGGATCTAAGTTTTCTTGAACTCTATAAATTTATAATGTCGACGGGATTCCCACGGACCGTATTCTATGGGTATCGGGGTATGTTGGTACGAGGATCTACACGATACGACATCGAGCACATAAAAAGATAGGAATTATACTGGTTCAGGCACCTCACAAGGTAATATTCTTAATCCAGTTTATATGGGATTATAGAAGAATCCACAGAGTACAACAGAGAACAACATAACTCCAAGATTACCGACGAGATTCTTGTCGAGAGAGCCTCGACGAGATCTATCGATGAATTGGCTTCAAGTCCTCCGGATTGCTTATGTGGTGGCGGGTGTCTTGCACTAAGATTCGATGCCCTATACCTCTCAGGGGGTATCTATTTATACCGCAGATCACCTTGGTCTCCAAGTAGAACTTGGAGACAACAGACCCCGCACGATATGACAACGTCATTAATTATCCCCTATAAGTAGGACTCTGATATCCCCTGTTCGTAGATATTATTTTCGTAAGGACTCATCAATTTCCTTAATTCAAATGGATCCTTTCCGTTTACTTGAAGATATAATGTATCCGCATACTTTATGACTTCTAGGATAGAAGGTATGTCTTATTCGTAACCCTGACACACAATTACGTTGATAATATTTGGATAAAATATTTTCTTCCAATTTTAATGAAATCTAAAATTTTAAACTGTACAAAGTTCAAATCTCCTGTGGATTTGAGAACCGGGGTTGCGCCAAACACGAGTTTGGTAAAAAGTTGGTGGCAATTCAAACATGAAGCATATACCAAAGTTACCAAATATTTGGTAGGCAAGTTTTGGTTTAAAATGGTATAAGCCATCAACTTTTATATTATTGTAGCTCACATGTTAAGTTCAAGATACTGTACGTATAAGTTGATAAAAAGAATGATATTCTCGTCTATTGTCTTACATGTTGTAATGCCATAAGTCATGTATTAGTTTGAATCAAGTGATGCTAAATAATATATACTACTCCCTCTATTCTTTTTTAATTTAACTATAACTTAAAAAGTTATTATTTCTAAATACTTGACATTGTACACAAGCTAACCTACGCTACTAGTGGAGAAGGTCTAGATACAAGTTCACGTATGACCTTTAGGCTGTGTTTAGTTTCATGTTAAAAATGGAAGTTTGAAGAAATTGGAACGATGTGATATAAAAGTTGGAAGTTTGTGTGTGTAGTAAAGTTCGATGTAACGGAAAAGTTGAAAGTTTGAAGAAAAAATTTAAAATCTAAACAAGGCATTAGAACATGAGAATGTCTCGTGCTCTCGCCGAAGATTTCCGTCCAGGACGAAGCATATATCTCCCTGAAATCAAATTGGATTTGATGAAGATAGCGACACGCATCCGTTCAAATTCAATGTGAGCAAGGATGGAGTAGCAATGTTCTCAAAAAAGCAAGGATGACAGTAGGAGCGATCGCCATTTCGTGCGGCTTTGGACGTTTGCCGGTCCATCCATCCAGCCCCGTTCACGGGCCGTCGACTGCTGCAGTGCAGCTGGGGCGGCAGCGTCGGTGCGGAGGATCACATGCGCCGTTTCCCGTATTCCCCGTATGCGCGCACCGGCGGTTCGCTTACCTACACAGCTACTCCCTCCGTCTCAAAAGACTTAGGCAGTGTTTGGCAAATATCTAAGGAAAATGATTTCCAACCCATCTTTAAATTCTAACCATTCATTCTTCGTCATCCATTTAATCCTAACCCTTTATTTATTTCCTAATCCCAATTCCACCTCTCATTTCCTATTATCCAAACACACCCTTAATTCTTGAGTTTTTTGTCCAATGTTTGACCACCTCTTCTTATATGAAATTATTTTAATTATTATTAGATGATAAAATATGAATAATATTTTATGCATGATTTATCTTTTTAATTTTTTTTATAATTTTTTTAAATAAAACGTACGGTCAAACGTTAAAATTGAGTTTTTGGACGGTGGGATTACACAGCCATACCTCGCTCGCCGTGCTACTGCTGGAGGAGGACCCCAACCCGACGCGGTTTTGCACTTTTTCCGTGGCCACCTCACCTTTTCACTGGTGGTGAATGATAGAAGAGCTTTTCGCTCTAAAAAATAAAAAATAGTAATCTATTTATGAAATTTAAAATAGTTAATATAATTATGCGTTAATGCATCACCTCGTTTTACGTATATTCTCAACTTTTTTAAAAAAAAATGAAAGGGAGATATTAAGATTAAGAAGATATGTAAATTATTTCGAATTTTCTTAAAAAAAATTAATTTGATTTTGTCAAGCAACTTTTTCTAAAAGCGCGCGCACAAAAACAAGAGAGTTTTAATCTTTGTGCTACTGCCAGACGCAGCCTAACGCTACTTTCATTTGTATAAATGGAGTGAGCTATTTTCCTCGCCTACTAAATGGTATATTTTTTTAAAAAAAAACTTTCTATATCGAAGTGGTTTTAAAAAATTAAATAAATATATTTATTAAGTTTATACTGGTTAATATACTTAATTAATTATATATTAATTATCTGTAACATGAAGGGCCCAGCCGGACATGGATTTTACTTTCTAGGTTTCCCGTAGACCCGTACAAATTTTGTGGAAAGAAATAGTGCTAAGTTCCAAGCTGGATGGGCTCCAAGGCCATTTATAACTAGCACAATCGGGTTGGTTTATATATGGTCCACGTGTAAATTTAAGTTTCGTAATTTGTAGGTTATAGTACTCCTGCCGTGGTGACCCATGCATAAATGTGAAAGTGGTTAAGTAATATCATTTTAGTTTGCTCCTTTTCTTAACAAATTGGCCGTTTTCAAAACCTTATTTTGAAGCTTAAAAAAAAAAAAGACCGCGGGCTCAACGCCAGAACCGTTGGCGCTGAGGTTAGCCGTCTCCGCATCAAGGTGGTTGGCGGTAACGCCCTGCCAGCATGGCGGCCGAGCCGATCTCCTGCCGACGTGGCAGGGAGCGCTATTTTTTTTTTCTCAACCCAAAACTCAGCGTCAGCCGTAATGGCGCTGAGATTTGCGACTTTGCCACCAATTCAGTTGGCTTTCTAATCCAGTAAATTGAATGCATCCAGCATCATATAACTATTCCGCTATAATTGATTTTTGACAAGGAATGTATGCTCATGATGTATATAGCTTATTGCATACCAATATGTTACTACACATTTTGATCGATCATGTCACACCGCACATGGTTGTGATAAATAGCGGACGGACCATTCAGGATAGCCATAGGAATGGTTAGGTTCGATCTACTTATTCCTTACATCGATGCATAAATTTAGTCCAATAAATTTTTAGGAACGCTACAAAACATAAATGGATCAAACCGAACCAAACCATCAGAACCTAGCTCTGAATGCATGATTCAACCCAAAATGACTCCACATATATAAATAGCCAAAAATTTGTACAAAGTTGTCTCTCTATATAATAGATCATTCCTATAAAATTGAATTGAATTTATCAAGTTTTTATAGTGTGAATTTGAGTTTAAAAATTTTGGGCTAGAGTAGAATTTCTTTGTCTATTAGTAATGCAATGTGTGCCGACATGTATAAATAGCTCATAATTTATTTACGCATCTAAATCCCGTAGATCTCGTAGTTTATACTACCTCCGTTTTTTTAATAGATGACGCCGTTGACTTATTCTCACATGTTTGATCATTCATCTTATTTAAAAAATTTACGTAATTATAATTTATTTTTGTTATGAGTTGTTTTATCACTCATAGTACTTTAAGTGTGATTTATATCTTATATATTTGTATAAAATTTTTGAATAAGATGAATGGTCAAACATATAAGAAAAAGTCAACAGCGTCATCTATTAAAAAACGGAGGGAGTACATCCAAATGATGTCTTCACGTCTGCCCGTTTGAGCTTTCTTATTACGTCTTACAAACTGAAGATACGCGACCAAAGCAACAAAAACTTTGGAGTACACGCGACATCCATGGTACTGTACCCCCGTTGTTGCTTGCACTCTCTTTCCCTATTCACGTGGGCCAAGCCCAAATGTTCATTGTCCATATATTGCCAAAGGAATAAGTTCACCAGCCGTGCCTCAACTTAACATCGAGTTTATTTGACATCCCTTATCCTCAATACCAGAAATCTTCACCTCTAAACTATATAAAACCATCCAATTTAGTCAGCAAAACCAAGTGTCTATATGTGGCAAATTTGACCCGGTCCACTCGTGTTGGCTAGACGCTGATGTGGCAAAAACGAAAGTGGGCCCCACATGTCATCCTCAGTCTCCACCTTATCTCTTCCCCTGCTCTCTAGTCTATCCCATGCTCGTGGTCTCTCCTCCCTCGATGAGGTGATGGTGGCGGCGGCTGTTGCAGCCGGGGTGGTGAGGAGGTGGCGTGGGGGTGTCGGCTGGGGCCCACAGCAACGACAAGCCGACGACGGTCGACGGCTTGGGCTGACGAGGAGGCGGCACCGACTAGAGGCGGGTGAGGAGACGGTGTCAGCAGCTGGGTGGCAGGGAGGTGGTGGCGGAGCAGGGCTAGGGTGGAATGGCCGGTGGAGCAGAGCGGGGGCGATGGTGGGCGAGCACGGGCGACCAACGGTTGGCAGGCGGAGCAGTGGAGATCCGAGGACCGAGGAGCATGCACGAGAGACGGCACAAGAGATCATGCATGACCGCACCGAGCGCGCATGCGTGCTAGGCGAGGAAGAAGCCGACGAGGGCGTGCCACACCCCGAGCACCACCGCGCCGGCATCGCACACTTGGCGTTGCGATGGACACCGCCGCCCAAAACAAGCTCGCAGAGTACGGCGACACGGCGACAGAGAAGCTCGAAAGAGGCTACCTGACGCAGCTCTACCCCTCCTGCTCCACATTCCTGCCTAGCCGCGTCGGCTGCAGAGAAGGCCCACAACCGCTCCATGATGCCACCTTCACCAAGCGATCGATTGGAAAGGGGGAGAGGAAGCCGGCTGGAGTAGGGGGACATGAGGTCAGTAGGAGAGTGGGGTGAGGATGCCGGTCATGCCGGCGGAGAGGGGGAAAGAGGCGGCTACTGCCACCGCTACTCTCGCACGCTGCTCGCCGCCCGTCGCCAACTGCCACCTCCGCTCGGCTGAAGAGAGGAGAGGAGAGGAGAAGAGAAGAGAAAAGAAGAGAATAAAAGAAAAGAGAAAAGAGAAGGGAAAAAAAGATGTGGACCCTACAATTTTTTTCTTGTCACTTACATGTGGGCTGTCCCTTACATGTGGGCTCCACGTACTTGTTTTAATTTTTTTTTTGCTTACTAGGATGCCACTTCAGCAAAAGGAAAAAGATGATGCTAACACATGGACCCCACATTTTTCTTCTCACTTACATGTGGGCCCCACATTTTTATTTTTTTATTTTTTACTAACTAGGATGCCACATCAGTGAAACCAGATATTTATACTGTCTCAGGACCTTTTTTAGACGGTTTTACATAGTTCAGGGTACATATTTCTAATATTGTTGTTAGGGACCTCAACAGACTTGGCATACAATTGAGGGAGGATGTTAGGTTAACTTATTCCATTGCCAAATGCTCTAGTTCAGATCACAACCTGACGATGGTCCATTTTGGCTGAAGTCCATTTTGATTCCTTCAACTATTTGCCGAATCTGATTCATATCTCTTAACCGTAAAACTAAATATAAAGGCTCTCTCTCAACTATTAAAACCGGCTCATTTTACCTCCTCAAGTAGTGTGAGAAACCGAATCTGATTCATTTTGGCTCTCTCTATCCAATGTGGCATCTACATATGCCATTACAGTGTGAGAAAATAATACGGTACGATTATGGGGCCCACATGTCAGTGACCTCTCTTCCTCTACCCTTTCCTCTCTTCTCTTCCCTGTTTCTCTCTATCTCTCTCTTTTCTCCCAGTGGTTTCTAGCTTCTAGGGGCCACGACTAACGAAAGAGGAGCTGGATCCAGAGGCCGAGGCAACAACGACCTTGTTAGTGGGAGAGCTGTGGCCCGACCCGGGGGATAGTAGCCAGGCGGAGCCTAGGGATGGTTGTGTTGAAGAAAAGGATGGGGTCACAGAGGATCTTAGTGTTTGACAGGTGGTGCTCTCTGGAGCCATGCGGGTTGGGAGGGGTCCAACAAGGACAAGGAGGCTAATTAGGCGGTCACTAGATGCGGAGATGAGGAGGGAGTGGGAGTAGTTGTGGGCACGGAAGCAACCGTGGTGCGGGAAGGCGGGAGAGCAATACAACTCAAAGGTGCCAAATCTATCACGAGTCCCGACGACCGAACGATGACACCCTTGTTGGCTTCCGCTGGATACGCCTCCCCATCTCATTCTCTTGTCTCTCGCTAACCAACCCATGCTCTAGGTGATACACCTCCCCGTTGACTCCTGTGATCTCTCCATCGCCAGCTACCTGCCTCCACAGTCCCTAACACCAGCGTGGGAGAAAGAGAGGAGGAGCACGATGGGTCACCGCAAGGCTCTCGGATCGGTGGCGCTAGATTGAGGGTTGTTGCCATTACACGCTCTGCTAGTTTCCTTTTTGGACCAACCTCCTCGCCGAGATCTGCAGGCCATTGCCTTTCTCCTTCCGTGCCCTCCCGTCTCTGATGGCCTTGGCACCTCAACCCATCGAGGGAAAGAAGAGGGGAGGAGCCGCTAATGCCTTCCCTGGCTTTGGCTCTGCCTTACTGCCATCCTCCCAACCTAGCTCTCTACTACTGCTAGAAGGTGAGACTTGAGAGCTGAGGAAGAGGGAAGGGAGGAGAGAGGAGAGAGGAGAAAGGGGAGAGTTTACGAAGAAATTGGTTAAGGGTGGATCAAGGTGGGAGAGGATGACACATGGGTCTCACTTTTCCTTATTATTTTGTCAACTTTAATGTCATGTAGTACATAGCTACATAGCTACTCCATGTAGTACAAAGACTATGTTAATGTGTCACGTTGGTGCCACACCAGTCTAAACCACCATCACTGCACATATTATCCTGCTCCTCTTGTGGAAGCATCAAGATCAAAGAATATAGGAAAGGTGATTTATTGATAGAGTTGTGAATACGTAACTCCCCCTATCAAGATTTAAATCCTAGTATCCACAAATATCACGCACAAACAAATACTCTTTCAATGAATTTCAATCCAGGTCTTTTCTAAGCACTTTGTCCTCACTCATGCGCACTCGGGAAGAATTTCCCGATCGGTCCCGCTTACATCTAGCAGCCAAACTGTAACATCCCGCCTCTCCCAGGCCGGGCCCACTTACATCTAGCAGCTCTCATAGGTCATAGACTGCCCTCACAGATCAACACAGGTCTTTTCTGCGCACTTTGTCCTCACTCTTGCGCACTCCGGAAGAATTTCCCGATCGGATAAGGTATACCCTCTATCCTTGGATGTACGATGGGTACCGATACGGTATACCCACGCGTATACGAATAGTTTCAGTATACGTTAAGGAAATCTATCACGTGATAGAAGCAGAATCTACGGACGGAAGGAGTCCTACTCGGACAAGACTGGGTCATTACCATATCGTGAGGGGTCCGATATCTCCGAGTCCTACTTGGAGATCAACTGACCCGCGGTATATAAGGGACCCCCTAGGCATGACCTAAGGCATCGAATACGACTGCCAACACACCCACCACAGACTACGGAGCTGGAGCCTACAGGAGCCAAGTCGCCGGGAGATCTAGTCGGACCAACTCGACTACAGTCTCGCCGGTATCATCGAGTTCTGCTATTCCCTTTGTAATCTGTGGTCTCTATCATATAATCCCATACCAACTGGATTAGGGCTATTACCTACCAAGGGGCCTGAACCAGTATAATCCTTGTCTTCTGTTTGCTTGATGTCGTACTACGTAGATCCTCGTACCAACGGACCCCAATACCCTCTATATCCGGTCTACGGGTATTCCCCGTCGACAGGAACATCTTACCTTTTTTTTTTAAGAAGGGTATTTTTTTTACCCAGCCTCTATATCCAACCGATATATGCAGCTTTCTTAAATAAAAAACTTAGCTATCAAATAACCCAATCTAAAATCCGCTCGATCCTATGGAGATTTGAACTCAGGACCTTAGGGAATATATGCAGCCTTCTTAAATCAAAAACTTAGCCCTCAAATGACCCAATCTAAAATCCGCTCGATCCTATGGAGATTTGAACTTAGGACATTGGGGTGCTACTTAGGTCACTACAACCACTAGATTGCATATCCCTTACACTCTTCAAGAACATCTTACCTGTAATAAAAGAATGTTATAATAAAAATTAGACAAGTTATTTTACGAGGAAATCAAATGAGTTGTTTCATACTTGACGAATGAAAAATCCATGATTAGACAAACTTTGAATTTAGCATTGTATACGTATCTTTAGTAATCACACCAGATCACGTTGTCATCCGTGTGAGAGCTAAAGCACAGGTAACTAGGCATTTGAACGGAGATCAGATCTGCGAGCTTGTCGTCAAAAGCGTGCGTCCACACACAGCCAGCGGGTCACCGGTGTGTCTGTGGGAGAAACCGGCGGCCGGAGGTGTGGAATTTCGTTTAATTCAGCGGCAATGCTTCATAATCATCGATCACAAACTAAGTACTAGTAGTTGAGTATGCAGAGTGAGATAGATGCATCTGCCAGTAATGTAGCTAACTCGGAGAGCAACATCTCATATGTGTATATTTGTGTACTGATGTACCATGCATTCACATATATATATATCCTCATCTCAATGATGTTTTTTCTGTACATGATCTTACTTACAAGTCAAGTCAAGACATGCATGCATGGAGAAATTAGATTATATAGATTAAACGCGACGCATGTGCCTACCTAGTAGAGGATTAGTAAACTGTTAAAAGTACATAGCAAGCAGGCCAATTTGGTCTGACACTCTTATCTTCAAAGGACAAAATTAGAATGATCACTCATATTTGATTAATTAAGCCAAGTTGACGATGGAAAATTGTCTAGTGGCGAGCTAAACCTACAATTAATTGGAATGGCAACTCAGCGCCCTCTAGCTAACTGTGGGTGTCAGCTTATCTATATAAGTGCCTCTCCTTCTCTTCTCCTCCAGGCCTACTAGCTAGCTATAGCCACCATACCTCTCTCTTTATCTCGTCTCCAGCTGCGATCGATAGTACACCGACCATGGCCACGCCGAGCAGCTCGTCACCGCCGGTGCCGCCCATCCGGTCGGTGAACCTCGGCGGCTGGCTCGTGACCGAGGGCTGGATCCTGCCGTCCCTCTTCGACGACATTCCAAACAACGACTTCCTCGTACTTCCTCCCCTCTCTTTCTCTAGTGGAGAAAAACGATTTTTCATGGTGTTGGTCTAATATTTTCTCTGACGGTAAAATATGAAAACCGCCAGCAATGTTTTAACGAGGGGTGGGAGGCAACGACCGCCAATGAAAAAATATTTTCATTGGCGGCCGAGTAATACGGGCTGCCTGCGAAGATTTTTTTATTTTCGCTGGCGGTACCTTCTGAGCGCCGCCAGCGAAAATAGGTTTATCTTCACTGGCGGTATGATGAGCTATTTTCGCTGGCAGCGCTCTTTGGAACGGAACATTTTAGAACGGAACGAGTGTTTGTCAATATTTCTTGAGTCCGTGCAATCAACATTTGTAACCTAATTAACTATGAACCTGATATTTGAAACTCTTATGTGTGTTGCAGGATGGAACAAAGCTCCAGTTCAAGTCGGTGGTCCACAACACGTACCTCTGCGCCGAACATGGCGGCGGCGACATCGTCGTCGCCGACCGGACGGCCGCATCGGGATGGGAGACCTTCAAGCTGTGGAGGGTCGACGAGAACACGTTCAACCTCAAGGCGATCGACGACAGCGCCGTGCACTTCGTGGGCGTCGACGGCAATGGCGTGGTCGTCGCGACGGCGGCCACTCCGGGGCCGTCAGAGACGTTCGTGATCGTGCGCAGCGACCGTGACAATAGCAGGATCCGCATCAGGGCGTCAAATGGGAAATTCCTGCAGGTATATAATGGTTATTTGGTAAAAAAAAAGGAAATATTTATGAGATCATGAACGAAAAACCTGCTCCCTATTATTTTTGAGTTTGTCTTAACTCAAACTTCTTAACAAGTTTATAGGATAATATTATATAATATCTACGACCTTAAGTTAGTTCCATTCAATCTATTTTATAGTATATCCGTATGGAATGGAGGTTTAAATGTTTAGATTAAGCTTTGCGAGCAAAATATATAGCATGGATACGAATAAGCTGTTAGGACGGTAGACCAAATAATCCATGGTTTGTGTGTACGAGCTAGCTCAGTCTAAGTTAGAAATATTATTTCCTATATGCGCTACTCCCTCTACGTGACATGCATTTGACTTTTCTTTATATCCAAGCTACAACTTTGACATAACTTTTATGAAAATAAGTTTATAAATGTAACAAATTATGATATCATGGAAATAATTTTCAAGACAAATCTGCACATGTTATTTTTATATTTTAACTTAATATTTAAAATGTTTTATTATTTAAATTTTCATAAATTTAAAAAGTCAAACGCCAAGTATTTTTAACAGAGGCCGGCAGTAACATTTACAAAGATGAAGATTATTGTAGTGTGTCTAAATATGGAAATTCTGATTTATCAGTTATTATTCGATCCATTTTAAGCTACTACTTCATCCGTCCCAAAATATGGCAACTTACTATTGAATTAGAAACAGCTTAATAGCATGAATTTGGACAATCTAAATTCATACTAATTTAATACTCCCTCCATTTCATATTATAAGACTTTCTAGCATTACATATATTCTTGAATATAGATGTTAATAAATCTATATGAATGTGGAGAATGCTAGAAAGTCTTATAATATGAAACGGATGAAGTATAAGTTAGCTATATTTTGAAACATATGGAGTATTTATTTTTGTGAAAGATAGGGTTTTGTCACTAAATAAAAGGTCGAAATTTCTTTCGGAAATGTTAGGCGAAGACCACGGTTTCAGTGACGGCAGACCATGGTGAGGGTACAAGCTGGGGTGATGATGATCCTTCAGTATTTGCCATAAACCGGGGGGAGAAACTTCAAGGAGAGTATCAACTATGCAACGGCTATGGCATGAAGAAGGCCACGGAAGTACTCAGGGTAAGATATGAATCCTTGGTTCAGCTCCACTTGACCACTTGTTAGATGAATTATGGAAAATACTTGAAATTTGATTTATAAAAATATATGAGTTTGCAGATGGGATGTTCCTAACTAGTACGACAAGGCATGTGATGTGCCATGACAATAGAAAAAAACCGAACTGGCCCAATGGAAAAAGCAGCACCATATGTTTCACTTGTTCGGTTTACTAGAAAGACCGTCCATACTACTGACCATTCTCACACAATTTTTTTTTACGGACATTCTCACACAAATTAGTAAATAATAACAGTGCCCTTAATTAATACTTTTTGTACGTTAATTAAAGGGACCACCTATACATTTGTCGACAAATTTTCTACTAAAAATTTGACAGATGTAATTATAGTACAATCGTAGTATAATTACACTGTAACTTGTATGTAATTACACTGTAACTTGCATATAACTACAGTGTAACTTGTATGTAAGTTTCACGTAATTTTGAATCGTTACATCTATTACAAGATTTGTTCTATGGACGAAGAAAAAAATCACATCACACACATATGTGAAATGATTTGTTCCCACGACCTATATTTTACTGAAATAACATGTTACCGAGAGATTCTTGAAAGTTACATACAAGTTACATTATAGTTACAGTGTAATTACATACAAGTTACAGTGTAATTACACTACGATTGTACTGTAATTACATCTGACAAATATCAGGGGGAGAAATTTGATGACAAATATCTAGCAAAATCGTTAATTAAATACACACATCTTAATCCGATTAGCTACAATTCCTAGCAATAAAGTCTTTAAGGGATAAATTAATTTTGGAGTGAATTGCACTTTGGGCCACCTTTTATTGCTGTAGTTTCACTTTAGATCACCCTAGTCAATTTTTTCACTTTGTACTAGCTAAATTTATGCTTATTGCACTTTGGATCATCTCAACTCTCTTCATTAGCCATGTCTACCTATACTCCGGCAAATGTACGACCTGCTCATAGACGGAGAATTTTGCTAGCTGTTATAACCGATGTCTTCAAGGTTATTGATGTGATAAAGAAGTGATTTTAGGTGGTCTAAAATAAAACAAATGTAAACTTAGTTAGTCTAAAATAAAAAGATTAGACCAAACGTAATCCAAAATAAAACTACGACAATAAAATGCGGAAACTCTAATGGGCAATTGATCGCCGTGGCGATCGGGTAGCGATCGCCCCCCCTCCCTCCCTCCACCTGGTTTCCGTTTTTGGCACCGTATTACTTTCCTATTTTAGTAAATTTATGCACCTAAAGTTTATACACCTCAAGTTTACACATTTAAAGTTTAGAGACCAAAAGTTTATAAGTCAAAAGTTTATATATCCGATTCAAATTTGAATTTAAATTCAATTTTTTTTATATATAGTATTTCTATACATCTAAAGTTTATAGACTTAAAATTTATAAGTCAAAAGTTTATATACCGTTTTAAATTTGAATTTGAATTATATCATATTCAAATTTGAATTTGAATTCAAATATTTTCTATATATAGTATTTCTATACATCTAAAATTTATATACCTAAAGTTTATAGATCTAAAGTTTATAAGTCAAAAGTTTACATACCCGATTCAAATTTGAATTTAAATTCAAATTTTTTATATATAGTATTTCTATATATAAATTTTTCTAACTTTTTGTTTTTTTTAAAAAATATTTTGTGGTGTACTGTAGTAGGAAGGGAAAAATGGAAGGAGGAAGGGGGAGAAGAGGGAGGAGCGTATCGCTATAGGGGGTGCTGATCGTTTTTTTTATCGCTTGACCCTCCCTCCAGCGAGTGATCGCGTACTAGGACCACCCAATAAAATGTGGCCAAAAGTGTAATTCACTCTTAATTTTAGTTGTCAATGGAGCACGAAAGAATAGAGAGAGTACTATTTCGTTGAAAATATCATTTATTTGCACTCTGGATGTCACGGAATTCGTAAACATGTAATTGCTACAGTCATAAAAACTTCGTAGAAATGAATGGAAATTTTTAGATTTAGTTGTTGCTGCCAAAAAAAAAAAAAACTGAGGGGAAAAGACGCCTCTACCCTCGCAACCGATACATCAGACAGACTTGTCTTCGTTAGTTCGTTCCCTTTGCCCGAGGGTGCCACCGAGGCTCGCCGCCGCTCTCCGCTTCCACCGCCGGCGGGAGGGGGAGGGGGGCTCGATCGATCTCGATAGCTCGGCTGGGCCGGCGAATCAGCCTCGGTAGTGGTAGGCGAGGGAGAGGATCCCCGTGGCGGCGTTGCTGGCGTCCTCGGTGGAGGCATCGAGATGGAGGGGCTTCGTCGCCGGCGACCTCGGTGGCAGGTGGCCTCGGCGGCGGCGGGAAGGGGTTCCGTGGCCGGTGACCTCGGTGGTGTGGTGTCATGGGGGACACGACGTTGCCGGTGCCTGGGTGGCGGCTGAGTGGGGGAGGCTTGGCCGGCGACTTCGACTTCGTTGCCGGTACCAAGCATTTTTGACATTTGTGACTTTGGATGGTATATTCGTAATTTCTAAGTAAATCTTCCAAAACAATACTTGGTGAAGAACAGAAACCTGGTGCTGGTTAGTCCAAGCCTTACTTGGTGAACTTTTCAGAAAACAATACTTTGCCCTTCAAATCTATTTTTTTAGGGAATCCAAATCATGTCCAGTTATTTTTCAACAATGCTAGATAGGTGTAATGTGTATTTCTACTCAACCATGTCATTTGTACGCTCAAAATTAGCAAATTTGAACGATTTGCAAGGGAAAAACCATCTGGCCTAGAAAACTTGCTTCGACTTGCTCAGAATTGAAGTTTATTAGACACCCTTAATTTATGTGTGCAGAACGAAACCTATATGAAATCAGATTATTTTCTTCAAACTAGGAAATACTATGACAATATAACTATTATCCTTGCTCTCAATTTGTTCCTTGTTTTGCAGGAACACTGGAGCACATACATACTTGAGAACGACTTCAAGTTTATCTCATCAAATGGATTAAATGCTGTAAGAATCCCTGTTGGATGGTGGATCGCCAGTGACCCAAACCCTCCTGCACCCTTTGTTGGCGGATCTCTAGAAGCATTGGATAATGCATTTCGATGGGCAGAGTAAGAATATTTACTTTTCCATGTCACCACAGTATAGTAGTTTCTTTTTTTTTTTAGCAAAACCACCGTAATTTCTTCATCATTAAATAAATTCTCTTAGCTTGGATTGAAAAAAGGATGTCATATACGTAATAAGCGATCTTTGTTGTTGTGCACAGGAAGTACAATTTAGGTGTCATTGTGGACTTGCATGCTGCACCTGGATCGCAGAATCCATGGGAACACAGTGGTAGTAGAGATGGTTCACAGACATGGGGCACCACCGATGAAACCATCATCCAAACTGTTCAAGTGATTGATTTCCTTGCATCCAGGTCTGACAAAGATATCAATAAATAATATTTTCCTTATCATTATCTTAAAACCGGAAAAGAAAAACCAAAGGGATCTCATCTTTCGTCTTAATTGGTCTACAGATATGCCAAAAGCCCAAGTCTCCTGGCAGTTGAACTACTAAACGAACCGTTGGCACCAAAAGTATCAGCTGGAATGCTAAAGAAATACTACCAAGATGCGTACAATGCTGTGCGAAAATATACATCAGATGCATATGTGATCATGTCGAATCCAATTAATGCAGACTACTCGAATGAGATTCTCCAGTTTGCCGGTGGCTTCTTTGGTGCTGTGTTTGATGTGCACTACTATAACATGTTCAATGGATCGTTTGACAACACAACAGCGGAGTGGAATATACAGTTTGTGAGAAATGATCGTTCTGCTGAGCTCAGGAGTGTCACAAAGCAGAACGGGCCTCTCACATATGTAGGTAAGTTGTCGCTCTAACATGTCTGCTGGTGTGCTTTACTCCTCCATTGGATCAACAGCGACAATTATATTCAATCAATTGATCAATAATACAATAGCTAAGTGATTCTCCGTTCCAAAATGTGGTGTTTTACTTTTGTCCTAAGTCAAAGTAATCTAACTTTGATCAAGTTTATAGAAAAAGTGCAAAATAATTACAACATTAAGCTAAGACATATTTCATCGTGCATTTGAATGAAACTAAATTGATGATGTCGTTGTAGATGTTGGTGCATTTTTTCTATAAACTTTACCAAAGTTAGAGAAGTTTGATTTAGTACGAAACACCTTAATTACAATATGGAACAGAGTGAGTAGTATTTGTCAAAACTATATAGTTTGTTGACACTCGACACTATCTAAATGTTATTACTCAGTGGTATATTGTCTGGTATGAGCTCTTGATTGCTACAGGGGAATGGGTGGCTGAGTGGAAAGTGAATAATGCATCCGAGGAAGATTACAAGAGGTTTGCGCAAGCACAATTGGATGTGTACAGCCAAGCTACCTTTGGATGGGCCTATTGGAGCTTCAAGCATGTCCAGAACCATTGGAGCTTGGAGTGGATGATCAAGAATGGTTACATCTCACTAAATCAGCCTAAGTTACCCATCCGAGCAGTGAACCTTGGCGGCTGGCTCGTGACGGAGGGCTGGATTAAGCCATCACTCTTTGATGGCATTTCCAACAAAGATCTCCTGGTATATCTATTGACCAAAACTATCTGATACCCTCTTTCTTTCATTTTGTGCTCACCCTACCACGTAATGATAAGTAATCCTAATTGCTGAGATACTATACCACAATTAGCTAGCTATTTTCATGTCCTATATTATATTTCCATTATTGATCTCTTGGTTAGGATGGCACCCAGCTCCAATTCAAATCGGTCACCAACAATATGTACCTTGCCGCTGAGAACGGAGGTGGCAGTGCTATTGTTGCCAACCGGGAGAAAGCGTCTGGTTGGGAGACCTTCAAACTGTGGAGGATCAACGAGACTACATTCAATCTCAGGGTTTTCAACAACCAGTTTGTGAGCATTGGTGGCAATGGGGCAGTTATTGCAACAGCAACCGTGCCGGGGCCGAATGAAACATTTCAGATCATTCGCCTTGACAGCGACAAAAGCAGGATGCGCATAAGGGCACCCAATGGGAAATTCTTGCAGGTAAGGTTAATTTGCAAAACGAAAAATGCCTTGTCAGTGTGCATCTAGTTGTTACCTGCTACTATCATGTATGCATTCTCTCAATATCTGCGGAACATATGTGATTATTTCAATTTACTGATGAATGTCTATTGATTTAACAATCGTCTAGTTTCAAGGAGTGATTTTTTTTTAATTCAAGTTGTTAGTGTAGTGGTTGTATTATGCTCATGCACCTTTGGTAGAGCTCAGGTGCTAGATTTCTATACTATTAACTAGTTTGCGCAGCGGTGGAAATTATTATTATGTTCAAGGACTAGAGCCACCACCTAAGTAATACACACCTTAAATCTAGTGACAGAGCCTACACGCATACAAGATTTTAGGACGCAAACGGTGCAAGGGTGAAAATGTACTTAGTTTGGGAAGTTCTATAGCGACATACTCCCTCTGTCCCATTTTAAGTGCAACCATGATTTTCCGTACCCAACTTTAATCATCCGTCTTATTTGAAAATTTTTTGAAAAAATTTAAAAACATAAGTCACACATAAAGTACTATTCATGTTTTATCATCTAATAACAATAAAAATATTAATCATAAAAAACTATAAATAAGACGGACAATCAAAGTTAGATACAAAAACACATGGTTGCACTTAAAATAGGACGGAGGGAGTATTTCTATGGAAATTCTGCAGCCACCTGTTTTTATGGAAATGCTATTAGCCCCATCTTTTCACTTATGTTTATGCTTTTTAACCAAAATTTAAATTTTCAACCTTAAATTTGGAATTGATTTTGGGTTTTTTTATCAAAGTTTATTTTTCAGCCTTTGCTTTTAGATCGCTAAGAACGCGTATATAAAAGTTTTATTCACAAATTATTTTTCTTTTGCAAATATGTCGTAGCCACCTTTAATTTCCATATGTAACACCATATCTTAAATTCATCTTTTTTTTAAGGGAGATGTCTAAAATTCAGATAAAACAGTCTTCAGGTTAGATTTGTGAAATCTTCAGGTTAGTCGATCTTAAAAAAACTTTTTTTATCATGGTTATCTGGTTTAACCTAACTTAATTTGTTAGTGTTTTTTATTGTGTGTGTCTGGCAACACAGTGTGGCTATTCGAGAACTGCATTTGGTTTGATAAAGCGGGCAAGTTGTGTAGTAGTTATGCAAATCATTTTTTTTAAGGTTTCTTTCAGTCGCACGTACTTCTATTAGATTAACTGCATCGTCAATTGTAAATATATTTCTCCTTTTGAGATGTTAGGTGAAGGCCATGGGTTCAGTCACTGCAGATCATGGTGCTAGCACAAATTGGGGAAATGATGACCCATCAGTCTTTGTAGTAAATAATATTTATGGCTTGCAAGGGGAATACCAGATTTGCAATGGCTACAGTGCAGGCAATGCCACAGAGGTGCTCAGGGTAAGATGTGACACTGTTGTTTCTATTCTATTTTTGTTGAGACACTGAATGGATAACTGTAGGCATACGATGTTTAGATCACTTGTTTTTTCTATCCTTAAAAACCAAAGTGTTATATTTGTATCACTGTTATTATTGGTTCAACAATTCCTTTTGGTTTTGTTCAATAGTAATCTTCAACAATTAATATATGCTGAGTTCCTTCCAATTTTGTACTAGTTAAAGAAATGGTAGAACCTCACTGAATAGAGTTATTGTCTTTCTTATGAAGAAATCTTTCGAAGAAAGAGAAGCTAGCACTTACATAGTTTATTTATGGTATTCATTACTAATTCTAGTTGTCAAATGGGCAAGCCAAAAAACAGAGCAATATGCATATCCTTTTTTGAAATAAATTACTATTGTAGTGTATAAAAATACTCTTCTTCTTGAGACGAAAATATAGTCATAATTGCAGTTCAATATCTAAAGTTCTTTGTTTGCAGGAGCACTGGAACACATTTATAGTTGAGGATGACTTCAAATTCATCTCATCAAATGGGCTAAATGCAGTGAGGATCCCAGTTGGATGGTGGATCGCCAGCGACCCCAACCCTCCTGCACCTTTTGTTGGTGGATCTCTACAAGCCTTGGATAACGCATTCAAATGGGCAGAGTAAGCATATGCACATGTTTCTATTTAAAAATAATGAGAGAAGAAATACCTTGTGCGATTGAGTTTTATAGAGATGGACATAAATATATATTATTCCTTTACAGACTGAAAAGACTATTACATGCTTAAGCTGTTATTGTGATTATTGTGTTTTATTGCAAATGTCATGATATTGCTATATGCCATTTTGTGTGTGTAGGAAGTACAACATAGGTATCATTGTGGACTTGCATGCAGCACCAGGGTCTCAGAATCGGTTGGATCACAGTGCCTCCAGGGATGGCTCATTGGAGTGGGGCACCTCTGCTGCAAACATCGCACAAACTGTGGGTGTCATAGATTTCCTTGCATCCAGGTCAATAATAAAAAATTGGCAAATCAACTGTACTCAGATTATGCTCAATCCATCTAACAGAACTTCTGAAATGTTCTTAACTTATTTTTTTCCTCTGAATGCAGATATGCCAAAAGTTCAAGCCTCCTAGCAATAGAATTACTCAACGAACCACTGGCACCAGATGTACCTGTGGATACATTAACAAAATACTATCAAGACGCATACAATGCTGTAAGAAAATACACTTTGCAAGCCTATGTAATCCTGTCAACTCGAATGTCAGGGGATCCAACGGAGTTTCTCTCAGTAGCCAGCAGTCTCTTTGGTGCGGTTATCGATGTGCATTACTATAACCTGTATAACAGCATGTTTGATAACTACACTGTGGAGCAGAACATCAATTTTGTAAGGAATAACCGTTCATCAGATATCAACACGGTCACAAAGCAGAACGTTCCTCTAACATTTGTCGGTAGGTACTAATATGTGGCACTGATCCCTTTCAAAGAAAATATGTGGCACTGACATTTTTCTCTTGTTTCTTCCTCTTCTGTTTCACATTACACTCATATGGGAGAAGTGCAAAATTGATCTCATTTGATTAATACAATAAGCAAAATTGACAAAAAAAAATTATATTTGGTCAGATCTATTGAAAATTTGAAAATGCTGGAGTGCTCAACTGATACATTGTTTGGTATGCGCTCTTCTTTGCAACAGGAGAATGGGTGGCCGAGTGGTACGTGGATAATGCATCCAAGGAAGACTACCAAAATTTTGCGCAAGCGCAGCTAGACCTGTATGGGAAAGCTACTTTTGGATGGTCCTATTGGACATTCAAGAACGTCAAGAACCACTGGAGCATGGAGTGGATGATCAAGAATGGGTACATCTCCCTCAATAATCTGCCTCCATCATCACCACCCATCCGGTCGGTGAACCTTGGCGGCTGGCTTGTGACAGAGGGCTGGATTCTACCGTCACTATTTGACGGTATACCCAACAATGACCTCCTGGTATGTCTATACTCAATTTCATGGTACCTTCAGTTAGAACATTAGCCATTTGGATGGTTCCCTGTTGTGTTTTGGCAGTGATCTCATGGTGTTTCAAAAATCATGTAACTTTATAGGACGGTACCACTCTCCATATCAAGTCTGTGATCCAGGACAAGTACCTTGCAGCCGAACAGGGCGGCGGCCAAACCATTGTTGCCAACCGAGTAGTGGCCTCTGATTGGGAGAGCTTCACACTGTGGAGGGTAGACGAGACAACATTCAATCTCAGGGTGTTCAAAAAGCAATTCATGGGCATTGACAGCAATGGAACAGTCATCGCAACAGCGACTACGCCTGGTCTGTCAGAAACATTCCAGATCGTGCGCAGTGACACCGATAAGAATAGGGTGCGCATCAGGGCACCAAATGGGAGCTTCCTTCAGGTAATGTTCACTATGGATATTCTGCTAGCAGGGCTAATTATGGACATTTTATTGGTCTATGTTGGCAAAGTGCGGCCAGGAACCAAACAACCTTGTACACTTATGTGATTTAAACAGGCATGCACCACAGGATAAAAACATCTTTGGATGCAATTGGCAAAAATTAGTAGTATTTTCAAATAAATCTCTAGAAACAAAAGGAGGACTAGAGCTGCTTGAATATGCCTTCTAACATGTTGTGTTTGGTTTAGGGTTAAAATTAATTAGACTATGCTAGCTTCCTCACCCAAAAAAAAAGGTTATGCGAGGTTTTGTATGTACTAACTAAAAATTCCAGTTAGCATGTATCTTTTGTTCCATCCTTTTTCTGGTTAGGTGGATTATAGCCCAAGTTTTCCCTAAAAAAATTGCATTGTGAGTGCATTTAACTTGTCGATTTAAAATATATTATGTGGATTAGCTTAATCCGAGTTCAAGGGCATGTAATGCTTTGACTGACTGAATTAACCCTACTACCCCAAAGGTTCTTGGTGGGTTAGTACCTGGACTAAAATAGAGTTGATTCATAAGCTTGGGTTCTTGAAGAATTACTTGTGTGCTCTTGAACAGAAAGCTTGTATTTGAATAAAATTTATGAATAGAAAGATTTCTAAGATGAAAAATACTTCACTTGGCATTTCTAAATTATGATCATTCTAAATTTACTCACTAATTTTGAATTGAAAGTAGTTTATCTAGCTATCTCCGTCCTTGACTCAAAATGATCAGTCTTCTCTATTTCTTGATGTTAGGCAAAGACTGCCAATTCTGTTACAGCAGATTATGGTGAAAGCACAAACTGGGGCAATGATGATCCCTCAGTGTTTATCGTAGATATGGTAGGTGGTCCACAAGGGGAGTATCAGATTTGTAATGGCTATGGTGCAGAGAAGGCCTCGCAGGTGCTTAGGGTAAGACATCTAGGCCACTTTTCCTCCACTTGTATTTTTAACCTATTATTTGATGGAGAATAGCAGAAAACTCACTGCAATGTGTAAGACAATGCAGAAAAAAATTCTTAGCCTACTATGTACGGTTATAACATTCATGATAGCTATTAAAAAATTAAGATGGTTGTGGTTTCTACTAACTGTATACTGATTCTACAAGTTTGGAACTGTTATACTATAGAATGGTTGTTGGCAGAAAGAAAGCCGATCAGGTTAGGTTCTTTCATAATTTCTATGTTCTAACTATTGGAGTATACGTAGATATAAAGCATAATGGCAGAAACACTTTTTCCCTGAGAACTGCAGGAAGAAGAGGCAAATACACTACAATATTGTGCAATTATTTGTGTTGCCCTTAAAACCTAAGCATTTTACCTTCAGTAGTTAGCATCTTAGAGGGTTCATATTGGCTTCATTAAAAAAAGAACAAAGTTTCCTCCACTAATATTTACATATGTTGCTTCAATGGATTTGATAATTGGCTTGTTAATTTCTGCCATGTTGCTAAACCTTTGTTTTTTGACTTATTTTTTGAGTCGATGCAATATATCCTATATATCCTGTCTTATATTCATTGATAAAACTAGAGGCCAGTGAGTCTCACTGTGCTGAACTGTCCCTCTCTAAATTGTTATTAGTCAACAAATGACAGTGGGACTCTGAAGAAGCATTCCTGAATGATTAGAAGGAAAGCAACAATTGCATTTCTTTGTATACATATTATAATCACAAATCCTTCTCTGATAACTACTAGTACATAATTTTCCCTTTAGAAAAGTTACTAATGTATCTTGTGTAGAAATTGGTAAACATCTTGTCAGGAAGAATCATAGCAATGACTATCACATTTTCTGAAATTGTATGTTTTGCAGGAACATTGGAGCACATACATAGTTGAGAGTGACTTCGAATTCATCTCATCAAGCGGGCTAAATGCAGTGAGAATCCCAGTTGGATGGTGGATCGCCAGTGACCCCAATCCTCCTGCTCCATTTGTTGGAGGATCCCTCCAAGCCTTGGATAACGCATTTAAATGGGCAGAGTAAGTATCTCCATGCAGCCATTTATTTATGAATAAGCACCTCTTACCCTGATGGCCATGTCGGGTGAAGAAATATAACACAGATGGTTTTAGTCTCATCTTATAAAGAGGACATTGGTGCTTACATTGCTAATGTGCATTGAAATGGCAGGCTTGTAAAAAGTTCAAGCAAATTTTCCACCTTTTTACCATTAACTAAACTTTTTGTTGAACTGTTGGCACATGTATATAGGAATTACAATATTGGTGTCATTGTGGACTTGCATGCCGCTCCTGGGTCACAAAACCATTGGGAGCATAGCGCCACAAGGGATGGATCACTAGAATGGGGCACCACTGATACAAGCATCACCCAAACAGTGCAAATCATTGATTTCCTCGCTTCCAGGTCTCTTAACAGAATTCACCATCATCCTTAAACACACCATACAAATCTATGATTTTCTTGTAACGCTATTTTTCACCTTAATTAATCTACAGATATGCCAATAGCCCGAGTCTGCTGGCAATTGAGCTACTCAACGAGCCATGGGGACCGGATGTACCCCTAGAAAAGCTTAAGAAATATTATGAGGATGCATACAACGTCGTGAGGAAATACACCGCGAAGGCCTACGTGATCATGTCAAACCGGCTGGCAGGGGAGTCCAACACTGAGCTTCTTGATTTCGCCAGTAGGTTCCCGGGCGTAGTCATCGACGTGCACTACTACAACCTGTTCAATGACGACACATTCAAAAATTTAAACGTAGAGCAAAACATTGAATTTGTGAAGAACAGCCGCAAGGCTGAGTTCAGCAACATCACGAAGCAAAAGAGCCCTCTCACGTTTGTTGGTAAGTAGTGAGGTGGCTCTAACATCTCTGGTTGATTTCCTCTTCCTATTTTCTTGCTTGAACGGTCTCCCTCTTCTCTGCTGACTGGCATATATTGAAAAGTTGGAAATTGCCTTTCAATCAGAATTTAGACATCAGAAGGTTTTTAATTCTCTAAATGATCGAGAATTTGAAATTGTAGAAGAATATACGGTCAATAGGTCACTGAAGTTATTGTTCCGGTGCAGGAGAATGGGCGGCAGAGTGGAAGGTAAACGGGGCATCCAAAGAGGAGTACCAAAGGTTTGCGCAAGCACAGCTTGATGTATATGGAAGAGCTACCTTCGGATGGGCTTACTGGAACTTCAAGAACGTCAATAACCATTGGAGCTTGGAATGGATGATCAAGAACGGGTATATCTCACTGAAAATATAGAAATAGTGCCATAATTCTGTCTGGTGGGTGAATACACATTACACCTAATGCAAAGGCCAGAAGCCCAGAACTGTAATAATGATTTTCCATTATCTAAAACGAAGTATCAATCGGGTTAACACGAACTAGAATAAGTCTGTAAATCTTGTTTAATTACGGCCAATAAATCAGTTCTGTTAGCCAGGTGGAAGCATGCATCCAGATGCATGCTTGTATTATAAGACTTATATTGTGTATTGTAACATTCACATATTTGAATATGTATGATCTTTGCTTTTATTTGGCCTCTGTCATGTCTTATTTCATGCGATTTACATGCTATCAAAGTGCACATTTCCACTAAAGAATGAGCATTTGAATATAATGTTCAGTTTATACCTGGGGCATATCATGGCACTAAATTTATAACTTCGTAATCAATATCAACAACAGTAGGGGAAGCACCAGTGGTGTGGTGGTGTAGTCGTGGGTGCATGACTCTACCCATAGGGTTTAAATCCTGATGCCTACGAATACTATGTACATGCAGGTGTACTTTTAACATGATTTTAGTGAGATCGGGAATGTGTCATTGGTTTTCGTCTTAGAGCATGTGTTAGAGGATGCATTTGCGGGGGTGAGAGTGTGGTGTCGCGCGTGTAGTGGTGTGTATGCGTGTGCATTTGTTGTGTAATCTTAAAAAAGAATATCAACAACAGTAAGATTGTCATATATTATAGTCTGAGGAAAGGGATTGGTCATTGTCAAACTCTTATAAATTCACTAAATAGGGCATATGCGAGATCCTGCAGGTCCGGAGGATCGTATGGAAGATACGTGGGGTACGCATCAACATTCCAAGGTCTTCGTACATGACTAGATCCTTAGACAAAAAGATGGCACCAATCTTTGCAGCTTCTACATCAGAGGGATATGTTATATTTTGTAGAGGAGGGAACCTGCACTCTAATGTTAAGATATGACATGTTAAAAGACCCGAGTCATAAATATAACCATTCTATTTTAGTGCTAAGTGCTGGCAACTTTTTTAACAAGTTGACAAGCACGATCGCAACATCTTAAACGCCTTGCGGTGATCCTAGAGTCACCAACCACCCTAATCTAGCAAGCACTAAATCAAGATGGGTTTTCATAAACTAAACCGGCTAGCGGAGCCGATTTAGATGAAACTATGGATAACTACCCGTTTCGTGGACAAACGGAAGGTTTTCAGGACAAACCTACAAAGAGGTGTCGCACTCTCGCAGCGGCAGCGGACGATTTACGGTGCAAATCGACAAAGATGGACAAATTAAACTAGAACTAGAAGCAATATTGAAAAAACGATTCGATTGATTGATTGTAGAATATTTTTTACAATTGAACCGGCCTTATCCCCTTATATAGGGGTTGGTCTTACCTTCTACAGGCTCTCCTCCACATCCAACTCAGGATAGAAACCAAAGGAAACTCGAAACATGCCTTCCCAAGCAAGGAAAACTTGAGACCCGACGAAAGAAACTCGGGCTCGGACTCTGCCGGTCAGACTGGCTCTCTCGCTTTAGGGTTTATGCCGGTATCGGCTAAATTGCTTTACTAGATTAGATTAGCTCGGGTATCTATCACCCTGAAAATCAGTCAAGGGTTTGATTGTATAGGTATTATGTTTCTTTTCATACTTAGTGTTGCATTAGTTAAGTTTCATCTACTAAGTCGTGCTTAGAATCATAATCTCTAGCCTGTTTGTTGACTGCCAATAAGGGTTTCATCAGGGTTTTAGCTGATGAGTTATCTGGACGTTGCATTGGCTTACAAGGATTGTATATATAAGTTGGATCTAGCCGATGACAACAGATGTTTCATTGTTTAATCTAATCTTGTGGATTTTATGACATCGGACCTCCAGCCGATATATTCTTTAACCTTCGGATCAGTGCTTGTTCTATTCTATCAAATCATTGTTAGCCAATTTGTTTCTTCTGGATTATACTGTTATATTATATTATCATCAGCCGATTGTCTTTATATTGGTATTTACATCAAGTGTCAGAATATACATTGGACGCATGGCCGATAGCTCAAAACCCTATCGGCACCAACTAGTATCGGCATCGGCTGGATTACTACATTGGCTTATCAGCCGATCGGCTATTTGATCTACTATTTACATATCTTGTTAGTTGCAGGATCAAACTGACTAGCACGCCTGCATCTCATCAAGTTTTGGACCTGCACTAGACCTAAGCAGATCTCCCAAACCAGTGTGTGTTTTTTACATCAACACAATGCAATTTATTTTTTTCCTTTCCTCCACCAAAGTACTCGAGTAGCATACTAAATTAATGTGTGGAGAGAATTGGAGTTTTGATGGATGGACGTAGTTAACGAGGGTCCTTCAATAATTTTACATTAATCCTAAACTTGTCTCGTGGATCTAGGAATCGATTTTATTTAGGACGAAGGGAGTATTATTTAGCAGTTTGGTAACAAACTCCTAAAAAAAATTGTCGCTTGGAGTTGCCAATAGAACACATTCTTAGGTCCGAGAATGCTTTGCATCAGTCGACTGACGGGGAAAAAACAATCAAGAGCTCAACAGCCCACTCATCCTCTACATATATCTATCTTCCTCTGCATTCTTATCCATTCTCTCTATCTTCTTGTGTCGTCTATGAGCAGTGGGGGCGTCTTCGCCATGTGTCTCCGATGAGATCCCACGACTTTTTCTGTAGAGGTGAAAACGAAGCGGATTCGGACGGATAGTGGTCATACCATATCCTAAACCATATTTTTTGAGCGGATTTGGAGCGGGTGCGGATAGTATACGGATGCAGATGAGGAGCGGATTGTTTCGGATGTCGGAAATGGTGCGGAGTCTGTGCGGAATCGGTTCGGAAACGGATTAAATTTATCGGATGTTACGTGTATATGCAATCAATGCATCATTGAGTTAGCAATCCAATGAACAATAATACAATAATCAATAAATGACCCATCGTAATAATTATATGATTAAGTGCTAAACAACATGAACGCATGATATCCATAATATAAAAAATATAGCTACGTGTGTGTGACATGAGACGATAAACGCCTTAGACTAAAAAATCTTTGTTAATTGATGAATGAGGGCACTGGTTGTACAACTTATGTTATATGCAATAGATAGAGTGGTTATATATGTTGATAATTTCGGATTATCTGGGAAACAACTTATCGGATAATTCGACAAAAATGTCGGATAATCCGCATCCGCCGGATTTTAGAGATACCATATCCGCATCCGCATCCGCCTCATACTATCCGCATCCGCAACCGTATCCGCCGGATTTCTAAAAGCTCATACCATATCCTCGTTTTGGACGGATTCGGATCGGATATTATCCAATCCGTTTTCACCCTTATTTTTCTGCAAGCGGTTCTTTTGCCCTTAGATGTTGTGGGCATTACTGCGGCATGCTTTGGTGCAATGAACATGGTGGCGCGGCCGGCCGGAGGGATGGCTTCCGACGAGGTGGCAAAGAAGTTTGGGATGCACAGGTTGTGGGTTTTGTGGGGCCATGCGGAGCGCCGACGTTGTGCTCTAGTGCTCATTGATTAGCTAGAGAAAGATGATGACCTTATGTGGAATTGGAGGTGTCGTTCGCCAGCGAAGATGACACAACGAGGGCCTGATACCAATGACGACGAGGTGAAGAAAGCTTGGGAGCAGCGGCTACCCACATCGATGGAGTAGAAGAATAACGTCTCTACATGAATATGTAGTAGAAACTTGAGAAGCCCATCGAAGAGAAGAAATAAAATTAGGTTTGAACCGATACTTTTTTATGAGTATGTGATGTTTCAGCTAATGTTGCACTTCATGTTTTGATGGTGTTTCATATTTTAGTACATGACTCTTGTAGTTTGGTGATGTTTCAGCTCTTGAAGCTTGATGTTTCATATGTGAGAATAATATGTTTCAATCGTGATTAACATGTGTTTCACCATTTTGATAATCTGAAATATTTTTCATTTAATAATGAATTTTTTTTAAGTTGCGATGAAACAACGGTCAAAAAGATTTTTCAAGTAAAACATCGAACGCCCTCTATTTGTATTCTCCGCAGATTTAGGTCATACGAATAAAATATTCATGCCACAATAAATATATCCGTCACGTGATTGATTGCTGTCCAAGAACCGGAATCATTTCGATGCCTCTACTGTCTCACTCACCTTAACTGCTTTTGGCTTTCCTGTGCTACTGGCTAGTACTGCTATAGTGTGAGCTACGATTGGGGAGCGGCAACCACACCAACCCCATCTCCATCTCCCTCCCAGACCGACCTCCCACCGCCGCTTTTGCCCTTCCCTCTCCAATCGTCCATCGCTCACTCTCCTCAGGTCTCATCTCTCTCTCTCTCTCTCTCCACCTGGTACTTTTGCTGGAATCGATGGCTTACATATGTTTTTAGAGGATTTTAGGGATAGATATAAGCATGCTTGTTGCAGGCCAAATCTTTCTTCATTTTTGGAATTAATACTGCACCTGAACTTTTTTTGGATAAAAAAGAAAGTGTATCAGCTTTGAATGAAGCCTACTAGTTCTTTATGAGTAGTGTGTGGTCATTTTCCCCTGGTTAAATTGTGGGATGGATGTTTGCTTCAAAGAAATAAAAGAAATTGTGGGATGGACCTGATGGTTCAAGGCTAATTTTGTTTTGACACTTCATTTCTTAGGTTTTTGGTGTGTTTGTGTTCAAGATTGAATAGGACAAGACATAGGGGTTAGCTCTCAATTTAAATGCCCAAGTTAAAAAGATTGTAATAATTGTCAAAAAAATTTGCATGGAATGCTTCCTTCTCTAGAAAGTAGGAAGTCTGACGGTCTGACCCCCCAAAAAAAGGTCAGTTTGTCCTCTTCTGTTTTTATGATAATTACTTTCCTAATTTCCCAGCTGACAGAAGGGTGTTGCTTGCAAGAAATAGTTGTTTACAGAATTATGTAGTCAATAGAGTTCATATATAACTTCCAGTACCAAAATTGCGTGATTGTGCTAATCAAAATGCAGAATTGGATATGAGTAATCAATCAGAAAAAGTGCGAGTGATATGCTAGTGGCCTAATGTCACTGAATTTTCAGAAGACCAAGACAGCACAAATGGGTGTTGTCGGGTATGTGATGCAATTTGTTAGATAATTTCTTATTTATCTTCTAACAATTTCTTATCTCATCATTGCCCACATAGATGGCTTACGAAAAATTCCTTAGGTGCAAGATTATACTGAATTAATTGCAAGTAGCTTAGAGTCGTCGGTTTTCTTCCAACAAAATTGCTGAAGAAGCCAGAGGCTCAAATGGAGGCATCTGATGAGGACAGGCCACTGATTCATCACCTGCCTCCACAGGTATTAATCGATAACCTTCCCATTATCTTTTTTTTTTTTTTGCCTAGGTAGGTACCAAACTTTTGTATCTCCATGTGACCCCATGACATGTACAGTTGATACTTTGCCACTTTGGCTTCAGTTTGTTACACAGAAACAAAAAAAATGAGTTCTTGCAGTTTCTTGTTCTTCAGCGAATCTTTGCATATATTTAATGTTAAATCCTGTGCAACATACATTAGTTTTGGCATTTGTCATTCAGGAACAATGTTCAAAATACACATGCGATGGAACGGTTAATATTGACAGTAAGCCCGCGCTGAAGCAGAGTACGGGGAATTGGAGAGCATGTTTCTTCATTTTAGGTACTTCTGAGAAGTTCACAAAATTATTCTGTTGATGCTCATAAACTTCCTTCTTCAACATACACAACTGACCTATTGAGTCCTGAACATGTCCTAGGTGTTGAATTCACTGAATGCATCTGCTTCTACGGGGTTTCAAAGAACTTAGTCACATACCTCACAAGTGTGCTCCATGAAAGCAACGTCAATGCTGCACAAAGTGTGTCGATCTGGATCGGCAGTTGCTTCTTCACACCACTCATTGGAGCCTTCTTGGCTGACACATATTGGGGAAGATACTGGACAGTAGTAATGTCCATCCTTGTTATCATCCTTGTAAGGCCAACAAGCAGAGCAGCAACTGAAAGATACAATCTGTAGTTAGTTTCATGTGTCATTTGCAACTCTGAAACAGTTCTATTTTGTCAGGGAATGATCGTTCTGACGGTTTCGGCATCACCATTGTTCCTGAATGCTTCTTTCTACAATGGGGGTATTTCTCGTCTAACTGTCTACCTAGGGCTCTACCTTTTTGCCCTTGGAACTGGAGGTATAAAGCCAAACATTCCGGCCTTCGGAGCTGATCAATTCGACGGCGCCGACCCGGTGGAGCGGGTGACAAAGGGCTCATTCTTCAACTGGTACTACTTCTCAATCAACGTGGGCTCGCTGCTGTCGTCCACCGTGGTTGTCTGGGTTCAGGACAACATAGGGTGGAGTGTCGGTTTTGCTGGCCCAATGCTACTCTTGGGGTTCGGCCTCGCCATGTTCATCGCCGGTAGGAGGGCGTACAGGTACAAGAAACTGGGAGGGAGCCCTCTGACAAGGGTCTTTCAGGTGCTGGTTGCAGCTGTAAGAAATCATAGGCTGAACTTGCCTGATGATAGCTCACTCCTGCATGAGCTTCCAGGAGTGACTGAAGGTGACTACAGAACTCAACATACCTATCAATTCAGGTATTGCTCATTGCATCAAAATTACCACAAGAGTTGTCGGACAAAATAGTCAAACCTGTTTTAATTTACTATAGAACAAACTAAGTGAATTAGTAGGAACAAATTCCACTGTCAAGAAAGATTCTTTTAAGATATTGCCATGTTATTCTAGACCATAATGTTTTAGAAGTTCCAATGGTTGATTTGACTCCTATCATGTATGAGTGTGCCATCACTTATCAATCAAGGGTAATATGGACTTTCCATAGTTATAAAAGGAAATAAATGATATACTTCGATTATGATGGTAAATCTAAAAACGTAGTAAATCTTGTTATGTTAAATTGTGTAAGTTTCTATAAATTGATTATTTAACTTTAACATTTCCATGATGTCCAGGTTTTTGGACAAGGCTGCCATCTTGTCGGACAAGAACTGCGCGCCGGCGGCGCCGTCGAGCCCATGGAGGCTGTGCACCGTGTCGCAGGTGGAGGAGCTCAAGATGCTGCTGCGGACGTTCCCGGTCTGGGCGTCGCTGGTCGGCTTCTTCATGGTGACCGCGCAGATGACGTCGACCCTGATCGAGCAGGGCGTCGCCATGGACGGCCGCGTCGGCCGCTTCACCGTGCCGCCGGCCTCGCTCGCCACCTTCGACGTCGTCGCCGTCCTCGCCCTGATCCCGGTCTACGACGCCGCGCTGGTGCCGCTGGCGCGGCGCGTCACCGGCAGGGACAGGGGCGTCTCGCACATGCAGCGCATCGGCGTCGGCCTCGCGCTGTCCGCGGTGGCCATGGCGTACTCGGCGCTGGTCGAGGCGCGGCGTCTGGCGATGGCGGCGGCGGCGGCGGGGACGCGGATGAGCATCGCGTGGCAGGTGCCGTCCTTCTTCGTGCTGGGCGCCGGGGAGGTGTTCGCCGTCATCGGCATGCTGGAGTTCTGCTACGAGCAGTCGCCGGCGTCGATGAAGAGCCTCGGCACGGCGCTCGTGCAGCTCGCCGTCGCCGTCGCCAACTACCTCAACTCCGGCATGCTCAGGGTGGTGGCGGCGGCCACGGCGCGCGGCGGCGGCGCCGGGTGGATCCCGGACAAGCTCGACGAGGGCCATCTGGACTACTTCTTCTGGATGATGGCTGCACTCAGCGTGCTCAACCTGCTGCAGTTCCTGCACTGCTCAATCAGATTCAGAGGCAACAACACACTGTCATCATCGTGACGTACTCCATTCTTCCGTCTCAAGGGCTCATGCCCTGCGTATATACTCCTGCAAATGTGTTCTCATTTCTTGTTCTGTCTCCAGGATTGAGAAAACGGAGTAACAGGAAGCCCCGGATTTTATTTTAACAGAAATGTAAGTGCAAAACAAATAATTTTATAATATAAGAGTAACACAAGAATGATCGATTAACTAGACTAAAGTAATACAGGAATGATACTCATGTTTAAATTCCTCTAAAACTTATATGGATCAAAAGTAATACAGGAATGATCCTCATGTATAAATTCCTCTAAAACTTATATGGATCAAGGCATTCCTAACTTATATGAATTGAGGCATTCCTTATGAATTTCGCAATGTTGGAGGGATGAGCTCCGGCAGATGTAGGAGACCTCGAGTTTAGATGAACCAGGGGTTCTAACCGAGATGGTGAGCCTGAGTGTGCTCGGAAGCAAAGAACACGGAACAACTATACTGGTTTGGGCCTGTTGAAGGATAACAAGCCTACTAGTATTTACTCCCTCCATCCCAAAATATTTGACGCCGTTAACTTTTTTTTAAAAATGTTTGACCGTTCGTCTTATTTAAAAAATTTAAGTAATTATTAATTCTTTTCCTATCATTTGATTTATTATTAAATATACTTTTACGTATACATATAGTTTTACACATTTCACAAAAGTTTTTTAATAAGACGAACGGTCAAACATGTTTGAAAATGTCAACGGCATCAAAAGTTTAGGGAAGAAGGGAGTACATCACTATGAGATGAATGTTCGTACAAGCTGGGAGCTCTCGAGCTAGCAGATCTAGTCCTTGCCGATTATGAAGAACCTAACACTTTCTAAGAGTCCCGGTTGGGTTTTTATATCTGAGAAGCGCATTACACTATTTACAATCATTAGATCACTTTCTGCCCTTCGAGCTCCACACCGATTTAGCCACCGATGTAACCCGCCTGTGAAACTTCACGTCGGGCCCATCTACAAGGTTATCATTATTGTTTCCATTATGGTAGTGTGAAAACGAGATGCCCATATATATATAGGTTATCTATCCATGTTAATACAATGAGACAACTCGAGAAATTCAATAATATAGATAGACACGAGAGCCAGCACAACACATCCGATGGAGGCGTAGCATCCTGTAAGATACGCCTCCACCATTCTCTAGCTAACGAGAACATCATGCTAGCCCTTCCCGGGCTAATGAGGGGTTCCCACGGTGAAACACTTCACACTTGAAGTGTGGGACTGGCCTCCTTTATGGGACAGTCACGTGCTAAGCCCTGGAGAGGACTGAGCCACGTGCTAAGCCCCAAAGAGGACTGAGCCACTTGCTATGGTTAGCTACATGAAAGACGCAACACCCTTGGTAGTTCTCGGGCAAGCCAGGATATGGGTCTCACCTCCAAATGATGTAACAACCTTGTTCATGGGTAGAAAACCAGATAGTCCCATGCTCCAGCAGAGGACACGTAGTCGTCTCCGAGCAGGTCTAGGGCCACCTACCAGACTCTCGAACAATTCCAGCTTTTCCTTAATTGTAGAATTGGACGGCAAGAGAACATGTGAATCTCTGCGTAAGGTTTTTGGCTTAAAGTGTGGCGAGGATGTGATGGCCCACTAATCGCGTAGATACATCGACTTGCCTTTCTAATTAAGCAAACTGGTAAAGTAGGGACTCCTTGACCGAAACGCTAACACGTAGGTTTCAATACTATCTCATCCTTTGTTACAAACTATCGTATAGAAAAAGTCCTACAGGATTGGAATCCTACAGAATTCCATGTTTTCTTTCAAATCAAAGTAATGTATTGGGGATGCTAAATGCAGATTTTCTAAGAAAATCTAGGCTAGTGGAGGTACTTTACCCGAATTTCATAGAAGAATTGAGATAAAGACTGGAAAGCTAGCATATGACCATATGGTCTGAAAGGTTCTTGAGGATCGGTGTCGGTGACATGGGACCGGGGGTATCGTGACTAGAGGCTTGAGTAGCCGCGGTCACCCCCGTGGCCTGACCCCCTCGGGGGGGTCGGGCCCGAGGGTGACATGGCCACCCCTCCCTCTGTCTCCCCGAGGGGTCGGGCCGTTCCCGTTTCGGCCCCGAGGGCTGGGACGCCCCGACCCCCTGTGGTTTTGGCGCCACGTGTGGGTTAGGTGAGCACGGCAGGGCTCACCTAATCGCATTTATTGCGGTTTGGACGAGCGCGCCACGCCGCATTTAATGCAACGCAGCGCGCGCTTATCCGGTCCGTGACCGGTCGCAGTGTGTGACCGGTCACAGACCGGTCAGATCGCGGGTTAGGTGGCAACAGGCGGCCTGTCACACGCCTCGCCCCGTCCCGTCGGAATGATGAGAGCCTCCAGGCGCTCGTCCCTAGCCGGAGCCGGCGTGTTAACTCCTGGAGTTGGTATGTCAGTCCCGGCCAGATTCATTCCAGGCTTCATCGCAACCATGGCAAGGAAGTCATTGTATGAAGAAGGGCAGACGTGCGGCATGCTAAACTGACGCGTGGTGGACAAGAATGACCGGTTTGTGACTGGTCTGACGCCGGTCACGTCATCGGCAGACAACCATGCTCCCACGTTGCATCTGCTTCCGGCGGAGTGGAGGTAGGTATGACCCATCCCATCGGAGAGTCATTCGGACAGCGGCCATTGCAAATCTCCACCCATTAATGAGGAAATGACAGGGTTATCCCCTGTGTCAGGCGAGTGACGGCACTGAGCCTCACTCAAGGACAAGCTGTGATTTAGCTTCCAGGCGAAGGCGCAAGCCAAGTTTTGGTGAAGATAGGGTGGGTCCCCACCCAAAAGAAGAGTAGGTAGAAGTGGTGCATGTGGTATCCCCTTGAGATATAAAAGGAGGACCTTGCCCACCGAAAAAAGGGGGGACGAGGAGGGGACTCTCAGACGACTCTTGCTCTCCAGCTCTCTGTAACTCCTTCACACACAGATCCACCAGAACACAGGAGTAGGGTATTACGCTTCTCAGCGGCCCGAACCTGTCTACGTCGCCCGTGTCTTGCGCATTTGTTCTCTCGCGAACTTTCCACAGATCGAGGGTGAAGAACCTCACTTAGCGCCCCCGGCGGAACCGGCACAGGGGGGCCTGCGCGGTCTCCCGGTGAGGAGCCCCATGCTCCGTCATCTGGCGCGCCAGGTAGGGGGCGCAAGTGTCTTTCGAAGTCCTCGTCCTCTTTCGTGTGCGCCAAGCTTCTCCCGCTCAGCCAAAATGGCCGAACGGGCAGTGGCGCACAACCTCTCTCCGAGCGCTAGCGGTGACGACGGGGAGCAGAACCCGCGCCGTCGAGCTCGTACTCCACCGTCCCCCTCTCGCCGAAATCTTGGGCGGGAGGAGGCGCTCGAGGAGGTCGAAAGATCCGTGACTTCGCCGCCCGCGGGCAATGGAGAAGGACGGCAAGACGGGGAGCGTCGCCTCCTCGTCTACGGCGATGGCGGCACGCCCCAGGGCGCGCTCCAGGCTGCGGGCGCGCTCCTGCGTCACCCGCCCGTCGTCTCCGATCCAGAGACTCCAGCCCGACGTTGGCTGGATGACGTGGCCGACTTGGTCATGACGACGCAGCAGCGCCTAGGTGCCGGCGGGCGGTCCTCCGCCACCGGGACCTCTGGCGCTGCCGCCGCCGGCTCCAGGTCGTCGAGGCGGAGGGCGCGGCGAGCGGCGGCCGTTACCCGCCGTTCGTCCGCCATTCCCTCGTCAACGCCTCCGACCCAAGAAGATGTGCGTGGGGGGCCGGATGCCCGCCTCAATATCGAGCGCCGGCGCAATGGTCGTCGTGCTGCCCATGCAACGAAGGGCGCTTCCTCGTCCGGAGCGCCACTTCGGTCCGGGCACGGGGGCCAGCCTCCCGTGTCCCCGGTTGGCGGTGCCGGCTGTCGAGCCTTTGTGGCGAGCCTTCGGAACGTCCGTTGGCCCCCAAGGTTCCGGCCCACCATCACCGAAAAATACGACGGAAGCGTCAACCCCGCCGAGTTTCTTCAGATCTACACGACCGGGATCGAGGCCGCCGGGGGTGATGACAGGGTCATGGCAAATTTCTTCCCCATGGCCCTGAAAGGTCAGGCGCGGGGTTGGCTAATGAACTTGCCACCCGCGTCGGTCCACTCTTGGGAGGATTTGTGCCAGCAGTTCACCATGAACTTCCAGGGCACATATCCGCGCCCAGGTGAAGAAGCAGACTTGCATGCGGTACAGCGAGGGGACGATGAGTCTCTTCGCTCGTACATTCAGCGGTTCTGTCAAGTCCGCAACACCATACCATGCATCCCCGCACACGCGGTGATCTACGCGTTCAGGGGGGGCGTGCGGCACAACCGCATGCTCGAGAAGATCGCCTCCAAGGAGCCCCAGACCACCGCGGAGCTTTTCCAGCTCGCGGACCGTGTGGCTCGCAAGGAGGAGGCCTGGACCTGGAACTCCTCCGGTTCCGGTGTGGCAGCTCCGGCCGCCCCCGGGTCCGCCGCTCGGTCAGAGCGGCGGGACAGGAGGAGGAAGAAGAGGTCGGCCCATTCCGACGACGAGGGTCACGTCCTCGCCGTCGAGGGCGCATCGCGGGCCACCCGAAAGGGGAGGCCTGCGAGCGACAAAAAGAAGGAGGCCGGCGCTCCCAGCAGGGAGCGCCCGACCGGCAAGTGGTGTTCCGTGCACAACACCTCCCTCCACGACCTCGCGGACTGCCGTGGTCAAAAGTTTGGCTGAGCGGACGAGGAAGTGGGAGGAGGAGAGGAGGCAGGAGCGTCGTGAGGGCAAGGCCCCGGCGGCTCCCGCCGGCAACCGGCGAGGTGAGGCCAAGCAGAAGGCCACCGCCGAGGACGTCGACGATGGCGACGATGACCTGGGGTTCCAGGAGCCTGGGGCCACCGTCGCCACCGTCGATGGGGGAGCGTGCGCTCACGCTTCTCGCTGGAGCCTCAAGGCCATGAAGCGAGAGCTTCTGGCCGCGGCCCCTACCCATAAGGCGACGCGGCGGGCGCGATGGTCGGAGGTTGCCCTCACCTTCGACCAGACCGACCACCCGCCGTGCGTTGCCCGGGGAGGACAGATCGCGATGATGGTTTCCCCCACCGTTTGCAATGTGAAGTTGGGGCGTGTCCTCAGAGACGGGGGTGCAGCCCTCAACATCCTTTCCCCCGCAGCCTTTGACGCCATCAAGGCCCCGGGGATGGTGCT